TGAATGATTTTTCTAAAATTCAATTTCCAAATGCCTGTAGATAGAGAGAATGTGATATTTAAATAATGTTCAATATATTGCCACATTGATGATTGAACTTAAATGGTTTTAATATTCTCCCCAACTTGACTTTTTAAAAGTTGATTCATACGCTGGCTAGATTTCCCACCTTGAGGAGAGATCAGCAATGGACCGTATAACTCCATACAGTGGATAAGGAGATCCTCCCATTCAAATTTAGTACAGTATGTAAGATTGCATCTCATACATTTCAAACTAAATTCTACACACAGTCAATTTTGTTTAATGGATGGTAACTAAAAGGCTGTTTTCTTCACTATAAAATTAGAAGAATCGTACATCTATAGCATTGTTTTATGTAAAGAAAATCTGTGTTGTTCAGTCAGAATCCAGAGTGAAATGTATGATATGCTTTGTATAATGTCATTTGTGATAATGAGCAAAATCATGACTATCATTCAGCAAAATACAATGAAATTGTCTGCTGAATAAGACCCTTTTATGTTCATGGTCTGTCAGTATTAGTTAGTGGTGTCAATTAACTGCTTGAGCATTAACCGGTTAACCGGGTGTTTTTACCGGTTAAAGTCGGTTAACCGGCGGGAAATTTGAACTGATAATTTAAAATGAAATCTTCATCTTCGATCTTGAAAGTTGAAAAAATTGGAAAAATGATATATTAGCGTTTATTTTTTACGTTCCTCAAGCTTTACTCTATTCTATTCATACACTACCTGACTACTGGTACCTCTAAATTACTTACCACACTGGTTTACCCTTGGAATCTCCACGAACGCACCATAACAACGACAATTGCAGCTGATTAGTGTTTATTTTAATTTTAATTTTCTCACTACCAATTGCGAGGCTTTGACCTTTGACATTTTGGCGACGTTGATAGACAACAATAATATAAAAACTGACGAATTAAAAAATGCATATAATTTATTTATGAAATGAGTTTGTAAGGAATAATCTGGCCTATGAGTTGATTACACATGGCTGACACTTGAAAAACAAACAGATTAACATGCAAAGTAATCGCGGTAAAGCAATGTGGCAGGGATTAAAGTTGCTGATTGGATGTTTGTAAGGAGTTATTGAACCTACATGTATCACATGTGAGTAGCTCACATGAAACTGACGCTTGAAAAACAAACAGATTAACATGCAAAGTAAGCGCGGGAAAGCAATGTGGCAGGGATTAAAGTTTCTGATTGGATATTTGTAAGGAGTTATGGGACTTATGACATGTATGAGTAGCTTACGTGAAACTGACACTTTAAAAGCAAACAGATTAGCATGCAATATAAGCGCGGGAAATAACAGAATTATACACGGTCAACTAACCACCCATAAAAACACAGACCGGTCAAGACATTATCGGCGGTTAACCGGTTAACCGGTTAATACTTGACACCTCTAGTATTAGTACATCAGGCTTCAACAAAGAAGATTTTTCAAATTGGTTTTAGTACAGATAATCATATTTTCTAACGATTGAAGCATCAAGTTAATTAGTTTAGATTGGAATCATGGAATACTTTTAGAATAAATTAAATACTGTGTCCATCTGATATGATATCCAATATCTAAGACATATACATTTATATGTGAGAAAAGAGGCATTCAATGCCCATACATGGGTGTACAGGTGCTCAAAGTTTTATGTTTCTGTTAAATATTTTCTGCTGGACGGTCTTCTTTTGTTTGTACACAACCTTTTGTTTCAAGCTCAGCCAAAGGATTTCTTGCTTGTAATGTTTTTTGTCAGCAATTATACATGTACTTTAAATGAATTGATTGTACAATGAGTTATTCATGATGTATCTGTACTGTACAAGAAGTACAAACTCGCACAATTCCTGGGAGACACTGTATGATTAATATGATCAAAACAACCTTGGTTACACCTTGGTAGACCTCTTGACTGAGGGTTGTGTACAGATAAAAGAAGTCCTACATATATTGTGTCTGACATGACTAGTATATTATTCTTATAAATACTGTAGTATGAATTCATCTTAATTATGTTATTCATAATTATGACGATTTCTTAGATTTGCTGTAAAACCTTTCGTTTTTGAAACTATGATGAAAGGTCTATTTTAGGCTGTTAATTTTATTTGCAAATGTAGACAAAGAGAAATGCGGAAGCATATGCTTGCTAACGAAAATATTTATGGCACATCGCCAAGAAATTTTGCGGATGTTTGCATTCTGCAATATATTGGTGGCAAATGGTGATTATTTATAGAATTTTAAAGTATGGTATGTATACATAGTTTTGTTGATTGGTTTAATTTATAAACCATGGCATATTAGAGAGATTCACAAGTTCACTTATAGTTCACTTATAACTTCTGCTTTAAAGAGAGTTGACTTATATGTGTATTTATAAAATATGGATTAAAATATGAACGCAAGCTCAGAAAACTTTTCAAAGTCTATCAATTATATTAATTCAGCAGGATGTATTAGTGAACTCCCCTCTAGTTAAAGTGTGCTATGAGTGAGCTTAGGGAATCTGTCATGTCTTTATTATATATTTGCTGCTGATCTTGTTGTGCCTTATCACAGTGGTCACTATAATCCTAGGAAATTCTAAAAATTGTCCAAAATTGTAAAAATTTGCTTTGAGCATGCAAAACTTTGAAAATTAGCGAAATTGAAAATGTTATCTAGAATTAGTCTACATGTTACTAGGTTTGCACTGAATCATTGTGTACTAGGCTGCTTGTAGTAATGGTGCAAGTCTACCCTGTGCCAATATATCTATGTAGACTATGAATATACAAGATAGGTCCAGAATTAGATAATGACTTGGGAAAAATACAGGGCAGTAAACACTGTCAAGTGGGACACTTCTGTAAGTGCAACATTTCTGAATATTCCTGTTACCCATTGATTTTATGAAAACGGACTTCTGTATTAACAGAACACTGTTTTGTGGTCTATGGTTGTCTCCCATTGACAGGTTTTACTGCCTTTCAAAAACTGATTGAATTATATTATATTTTTGCAATATCATGGACTGATGACAATGTAGGTAAAGGACTTACCAGCTGTTTTGTTTTGTTTGTAATATATAAATAAAATATATGTATAGAGTATATAATGCTTTCAGTAGCATAGAATTGTAAATAGGATTCAATCTAAGGAAATTGTATAGTGAAATGCATGGGTGTATTGTGTCTTAATGAGGCATAGTATCAATATGTGTTATTCAAGATAGTGTGTATGTATAAGTATTATGAAAATTATATATCTGCACACATGTAGTATATATTTCAATGATAAATCATGAAATCCAATGTATGGTTCCAAAAATTGTGCTTGTTATCCCTTTATATGAAATAACTAAAACCTGAAACATTTTGTGCATAATTCAACACAAAGAGGAGACCATGTGTCTTTGTTCAGCAAAATTCAAAGTTAGATTTTGAAAAAATGAGACATCCTTTCATAGGACACTGGAAAATATATACCATTGTAACTGGGGTATTTTTCTCCGAATCCTAGAAGCTTTTAGCATAAGATCATACTTTAGAATAAAATTGAGTGATAAATCGAAATATAAAAGAACTTTGACTGCTGATTCTGATTCAATTTTTATATAGTAGCCCGGACAGAATTGTTCAATGGTCACTTTTTCTTTAATAACTTTTTTAATTTTCAGTATTATCATAGTCTGATCACATATTTGAAAACTAGAGTAAAATTCTGACATACAAAAAATATATTTAAGGAACATCTCTTAATTTATTAAATTATAGGCGTTCATAGTATGACTGACGCAAATACATAATTCATCATTTTGCCTCATATTTGTTCAAAATGGCGGCATATTTTGTGAATTTGAATGTTCAGTTGAAAGCTAATATTTAAAGATTGCCATAGGACTAAAGGGCCATACTGCCACCTTAACAATCCTGATGTAATGCAGCAGCAACTGACCATTCATCAAATACAAGAAATTAACTCCCTCCGAGGGTAAATGACATCAACTCTATTGAAATTTTCGAGGTTGTGTTCAAGAGGATTTGAAAAGGTGGCGTCCCAATGTGCGGGATGTGATGAGAGTAGGTCCTCAATCTTTTCAAGAGCTCCAAACAGCCATCTCAGAGGCCATTGAAAAGCTGAAGAACAATTCACATGCATGCCAAGGATGGGTTAAGAGGCGTGTGATTGGGAAAGACATTACAAACTGTGGCAGTATGACCCTATAGTTGCACAGGTTAACGAACTAGGGCTGCTAATCCACTACGAGTAACAATGGAAGGGCCAAAAAACGTTAAGTCCTGCGACCTTACCAATATACTGTACATACAATGTACACACCTTTTTAAGTACTGGTATACATAAAGCAAGTCAATTTAAAACAAAAGCTTATAAATGCAGTCATTACCTCATACCAAGGCAGTAGTCTACATGATTTCGTAGGCCTATGACATTTCTTAAATATTAACTTTCAACTGAACATTCAAACCACAAAACATGCCGCCATTTTTGAACAAATATGACACAAAATGGTGAATTATGTATTTGCGTCACTCATACTATGAACGCCTATAATATTAATAAATTAACAGATGTTCCTTAATATTTCTTTTGTATGTCAGAATTTTACTCTTCTTTTCAAATATGTTATCAGATCTTGATAATACTGAAAATTAAAAAAGTTATGAAAGAAAAAGTGACCATTGAACAATTCTGTCCGGGCTACTATGTACTCAATTTTAGTTTGATTTGTTTTTGTTTTGTTTTAGAGAGTGTCTCTCAATGCCCTTCATATATTTAGTTGGTTTGCATTAGTAAGTCTTAATATTATTAAGTGTTAATTTGCATTCACATTTGGTTTTAGATAAATAGACAAACCATTTTAAAAAGATAAAGGTATTAAACAACACAATCCATGTTTTTTATGATCCTGAAATGCTTAACACTTTCACCATTTAAAAGGGCTGTGTAGTTCTGATCTTTTCTAACCCCAAAATGCTTCAATTCTTAATGGTCTGTAACCTACCACCTTTACCATTATATAAACATTCTTAGAAAATATCAAAGATTTAAAAGAATATTGTCCACCTATGGAGCAGCATATTTTCAGAATTGAATTTTACTTATCACATCTTTCTTATTTCAATAAAATCTCTTACCTCATAAATAATTTTCTTAAGATTTGATACTTTCAGAAAAAGTTATCAATGTATAAGTTTCTTTTCATTCTTGAATTCAGAATATATTTGAGTTATTTGGATCAGAACTACAGAGAATGGCCTTTGAGCTCAATTTGATGAGTATTTGATTGCGCTGGCATTACTATTTCAGTATATCAAATTTGCTTTTCTAACACTTTACAATTGGTTCATTTTTACAGTTGTAAAGGGGCCATATTAACAATGGTTTTCGAGCTCTATTAATACTTGTAATGGGGCCACATTAACAGTGGCTAAATGCCACTATATTCTATGCAGTGTATGACACAATCAATAAGGAATAAAGCTTATAAAATGATATTCAACTTTTGATTAGTTTTTTTTGTATCTATATTTACATGCATTCAGCTAGAAAGTTGTACACGTTAACATGTGTATGACTAGAATACTTACACCAGATTTTTAGTATAAAATAACTTCTTAATTTATTTCTTAATATGTACATCAAATTACAATATAAAATTAACAACATTTACAACAACTAATTTACAATTTATTGCATCGTCCTAACTGACGTTCATCCAATCAGCATCAATCCCCCAAGAGCAGGTTTTATAGTTTTCAGACACATCTGTACACTGGACGAAATGCTATCCTATATATGGTTTTATACACCAGCCTGAAATAAAGAGGGCAGTCATAAATGTTATTTTTTCAAAAAATACATGTTTTTGAAGTTCATATTATGTCAGTATATATAGGGGTCAGGTGTGACATACAAAATATGTTAAATAGTAATTCACTTTCATCAAATATGATGATATGTATTAAATATATATATACGTATACAGTCTCAGATAAAAAGAACACAAAAATAAAATCAAAAATAAATTACTTTGTCTTGGTACATGTATTTCTTTTCCATGGTCCACATGGTGCCGAGAACACCTCCCTCTGTAGGCGTCTGAATGCTCTATTGTACGACTGCCTGCATACTTGGTAACGACATTTCCTATAACATAGTATTCAACATCGTTATGGAATGTAGATCTATAGCTAATAAATACTTTCATGGAATGATTTCAAAACTCAAATATTATACATTGATTTCGAAAGATACAGTACATTTTACATATTCAGAAAGAAAGGAAAATATTAAGGCTTCAATACTATTTATAAAGGTGACGGTGACGATGGTCTTAAATAACGTACACCAACCATGCACTTTTGTCCTTCGACTTAATGTATTTTGCTCAATGAATAGAAGATTATAAGTGTCAAAACTAGAAACGCGATTCAGTTCAGGATGAAAAAATCCGAGGTCTCAGTGACTGTTTTTTGCTTGTAATTAGTTTGCAGAATTGTCCAAGTTTCTTATATACAGGAACATACCTTCTTTCACACATGTCGCCTTGGAAACCATCTCTGCAGGCGCATGTATTGGGCGCAATACACACACCACCGTTCTGACATCCTCCAGAACAAAATGCTGAAAGTAACAAATATCACGGATAAGTACGTGGAGAATATACTGTTAAAATGTCAATTTCAATAAGCGTCACCCAGTGAAATGAAAACATATACTGTAATTTGTTTTCAAATATACTGACAACATTTTGATACTAGCCTATATTTAACATGTCGACATAACATAAAAGCATGAAAGGGTGAAATAGAAAAAGTTCATCAGACGCCTATAATTGTACATGTTACATATGTACACACGCTAACATAAAGCTATGATATATTGTCAAAACCAAAAAGCTCAATATCGACTTACCTGTCTGGCAGTAATGACCCGTATAGCCCGGGGGACATTGGCATTGGTTAGGACCCACACAGCGGCCACCATTCAGGCACATAGGAGTACATGTATCTAAAGAAAGAGCAAAATATAGAATAAAGGCTGCATTGTGTTTGATAATAATAATTTGTTTGGTTTAGTTAGTTTACTTACTGCATTAATAAAGCATATTGTAAATAAAAATTAATTCAAGCAAGGGATGACGGCGATATATGACGATAATGGTATGAATGATGATGATTTCCTAATACAGCCCTACGTCTAAACGCTCCTCTATATCAGAACGTAGGAACTTTGGCATGCATTTTGCCCATTTGCTTTTCAAATAGGTTACTTGAAGAGGCTGTGAATTGTGCTTTCGATGTTACCCTTTGTGTATATAAATTGATTCATTAGATTTAAGATACCTCCTCCTACAGGTGGACTACAATTCGTTTTAGTTTATTTGAATATATTTTTAAATACTTATTATAAAGCTCCTGGCATATTTGTCTTTTCATTTTCAACTTACATTTTTGACAATACGCTCCATATGCACCTTGCCTACATAGACAAAAGTACGGGTAGAGACACGTACCACCATTCTGACACTCCGGATAACATAAAGCTAAAAATAATTAAGGAAAGCTTACGTAAGCAAAATGATATTAGTTCTCTTGTAAAATGATTAGTAATTGATAATAATGAAATAAAGTTGCTGCAATACCTTATCAAGCAAATGTTTAGCTTAACCCATTCAAACAGTTCAATTGAAGTAGGATGGGTATCCAGGGGAATTTAGTAAGTTGGGTTGGGATCCAGAAAAAATGCGGATACGTTTTCCGATCCAGTTAATATTTAATCTGAGTTGACTTGATCGGCAAATCATTTATGTTGGTTTGGTTGGTCTGCTTTCTAGTGAAGCATAACATGAATCAGGTTAATAAAGAAGATGATGATAAAGAAAGAGATAGACAGCGTCATATCAGATTAACTCGTTAATTAATGATGTGTATGTGATGCCAGCTTTTATGATAAAGCTCTGTATTAAAAAACACATGCATACTGGTTCTGAGGGCTGTTGCTCAGAAATATGCCAAATAACGATTCTTTGAAATTCTTAAACGATCCTGTCAATATATTGTGATTCGTAAATTAATGGCAATTTCATTTCAGCAATCGTGGTCTACTACGGCTATTCCTCAAGCAGACCCTTAAGCTATAGATTGTTTGTTTGTTTGTTTGTTTGTTTGTTTGTTTGTTTTGAGCCCACGTGCTGGCATCCCTATCCCAAAAATGATTTAAATTAAGCAATAATTCAAACATAACAATGGCTTGCAATTAACAATCTTGCTAAAATATGAAAGCAGGATTAAAAATTAATGGCCTTTCATTCAAAATGGCTTTCTTCAGAACTGCATATTTTCGCCTGTATTATGTAAAACTCATCATGCCTCCATATTTCACATTTTCCCTATTTGGAAGCCAAAGCATTGACATTTTCTTTTGAAGCAACATTTTCTCATTGCATTTCGCCCAACACCTTACTTTAACTTGCTCACTAGTACAAAAGAATGTATCCCCCTTATTTTATATTAACCAAAGGAACAGTTGTTTTAAGAGAAGTGGTATAATTACACAATTTTGCAATTCATTCTGTTCCTATAAATATAGACAATGTAAACCTAAATTTAGACCCAATAAATGCTACGATATATTCATGACGTCATTGTGCAGAACTCGTAAGTTTTGGAACGCAGAGATCTTTTCCAACCAATGGGAAATGAACCAAAGACAAAGCGGTCAGAGACCCAATTGCCAAATGATTGTTAAAGATAAGTGAATGAATTCAATTGTCATTGATCCAATTTACGACAAAATTATCCAAAATGACATCTTCAATTACTACGAATAGTGACGTATTTCCATATACTTACGTTGGCTGCAATCTGATCCCGTGTAACCATGGGGACAGGAACATGTGTTGGGAGCAATGCAGCTTCCTCCATTGACGCAACCTTGTTCACATACGGCTGGAAACAAGGAACATACCGGTTACAAAGATTCAATGTGCATTGCAAATGTTATCGGAAATAAAGTTTCAATTTTATTATCCGAAGTACGTGTAGCTTGAGTCTGTTATTAGGTCTTTGTTATCACAATTGTTTCACAAGATGAATAATTACCTGGATTTACACACAAACAATCATGTTTACATGTTTAATGAGAATGGGGTACTGGAAAGTGATTTGATGTAAATGTTAAGTTTGTGATACAATTTTGTTTTGAGTGCTTTGTTTTTTATTTTTACTTTTAGTAATAATTCAATTTACCTGTTTGGCATTGGTTACCTGAGTAACCAGGAAGGCACTTGCATATATTATTACCATGGCAACTACCCCCATTGTAACAAGGAGACGTACAGGCCGCTGGAATCATAATTACCATATGTGAGAATCGAAAATGAATGGGATTATTAGCACAACATACATGAAAAAACAGAAATATTTGAAATTGTTTCATTTTCTCTGATTCTTGATTTACCATACAGATGAATGTAAAAATGCTAAAAATAGTAAACCCCTAAAATAAAACTTAAAACAAAAATAGTTTACAAAGAAACACACCATTATAATCTAATTTGGGATCATTTTTGGATACGATCAATGAACCGTCAAAGCTCGTCAATTGGTAAAGCAACCAACTAGATTTCCATCGGTTGTTCAAAGTTAAAGCACATAACACCATAGAATAATTTGTTTGCTACTTCTGGATGGTGAACATTTATTATATAGAGTAGGGCAGACAGGCCATATATTTAAACACCTCTATCGTTTTCTAACACCATATTTCTGTTTATATCTTTCATCGGTTTAACATGTTTAACCTCATCATGTAGCGAGTGTTGGAGCAATGGTGAGTAATTATTTATGACACCAAGGCGGAACAGAGGTAAAACAGACAAATAGGGGAATGTCTGTAGCTTTACCAACATTTTTAAAAGTTCTCAGATATTAACGCGTTGGATCACATGACTCACATGTAAAAACGAACAGTAGTTTTTCTGCTTTAATCGTGTGATTTATGAACTTGGTCAAAGTGACATGATCTAATAGGCGTGACGTTCGCAATTTTATAAGATGTAGAGTCACGTGCACGTGTACGATACAATTTTTTAAGAGCAAACAAAATGATAAAAACGCACATAAGGCAACCTCAGTGAATCATAAACAAGCCCTGCTAAACAACCAATATTCCTATAAATTGTCTAAACTGTAGCATGCTTTAATGTAAAGGTAGAACATGGCTTTAGACAACAATTTTGCAACAGCCGCTTATGGGTGTTCCAAATTCAAACACAAGCAAACACTGAGCAGCAGTTTTGAAAGTGATCTCCTGTCTAGCTAACTAGTTGACAAATTGCCCATGGTTCATAGGAAAAAACAAATGTTAGTTTAGCGAGAGAGGCGATTTAACAGACGGCCTGTCTTTATTTACTGCCGAACTAGGAAGTCTAATTCATTTTACTTGAAGCTTGCGAGACAGAAGTTGTTGCGTTCAATTTCCATATCAATATGCATCAGTTCGACCTGATGGTATGCTAGATCCAAGTGCATTTTGCTAAATTCTGGCTATACTGTACATGCCTCAAATTTGAGGTTGGAAAGTTCCCGATTGTACTAAATGTCATTTATTGCGCAGTTTCGGTTGGGTTTCCTTATAAACTAGTCAAGCCTCATATTTCATTTAATTTCTCAAAGTTACAAAAATGACTGCTCCAAATCGACGCACACATCTAATGGTGTGATGATAATTGTTGGTTTACCTTTACATAGGGGAGGTAGTGTGCCGTGCGGACAAGAACACTTATTGGGAGCTATACAGCGGCCACCATTCATGCACTCATTTTCACAGACAGCTGAAAAACACAAACCATACATGGTCAATACAGGGTGTGATATACTCTTTGAATACTACTACTCTTTCTTTTATTTCTTTATTCAATTGAATTTGCAATAGTATAAAATATGATATGAGCTGGGCTTACGTGTTTCACATTTCTCCCCGGTGTATCCCGGGAGACACGTGCATATGTTGGGTTCATTGCAGTAGCCGCCATTTTGACACCGGACACGGCAAGCGACGGTTTGACACTGGACCCCAGAGTAGCCAAGGGTGCACTTACACTTTCCACGCTTGTTACACTTTCCACCGTGTAGGCACTCAGGAGAACATTTGTCTGGAATGGAAGCACAAGTAAAGACAAATCCCAACACAATTTTGAAATTGTAATTTGAGGCACTAACCCATATCTTATTTTCATTGTAGGTTTTAATAGCCTTACTTGGACAAGATGACATTTTGCAGCGTCTAATTTGGACCTTTTTTCTCTTTGGGCCTAGACATTCGTCAACGGTGACTGCGTTGTCTAAGCAGAATGCCGTTCTACTCTTTTCTCCTCGTCCACACGTCACACTACACGGTGACCAACTCGACCATCGAAATTCTGAAATGAGAAATGTTTACAATGAACTGTTACCTACACATATAAGTCCTATACATAATCATCACGCTGGTTGTAATCAGAATAAAGACCGTTTTGTTCAAAGGGAATTAGTTTCATAATCAGTTTTAGAATACTTTATGAAAAAATATGAAAGACAACAAAAACTCACTTCTCTTTCGATTACGACGTCGTCGCTTTCCACCCCTACCCTCCTCATTTGGAACACGGTCGTTATCAACTGGGTCAATATTGTTGGAAGGGGCTAGCCTGATGACGTTGTCTGACTGTTCGTTATTACACTGTAGTCTCGCTGCATCCGGGTCACCTATGATGGTCAATTGCTCTATCTCACCCTGTAAAATCCACAGTGAAATCGGTGAATGTAACATGACAATTACTTGACTCACGTGTTTGGTTCTTTTAATAATATGTTGATGTTATTTTATGAAATCACATTCTGGTTCGGTTGTGGTCTAGTGTGGTTTATTTTAATATACTAAACTAAAATAGTTATTGTACTAACATTGATTCACTGTATTTATCATTCAATACAAAACGATGACAAATGTATGTTGATTTTACTTGACGTTTGGCTTACCACAAAATGCTTTTTGATTTTGTCTCCGAAAGCCGAGCCCACTCCAGTTACTGTCTTTACTCCTATGTTTGGTATGCTGCTCCGTTCCAATTGTTTCGTCCTTTGTAATATACAATCCAAATACAATGTCACTGATTGTCCACGAACACTGAAGGCAAATTGATGCCATTGTCCGTCGCTCAAATTGACAGAGAATTTTGGCGACCTCGTAGCTGGCATATTGTTTTTATCAGAATAATAAAATATTGGATTGTTTCCTACTTCTATACCAATGTTCACCCGTCCCATTAAGTCACTTACAGTGAACACATAACCAGCGTTGTTCTTTTCAGGTTTAGCAGTAATTATCACAGAAAAATCCGGAGGGAAAAATTCCGGAAAAAGTTTTGATGTAGGCAGGTTGATTTTGGCATTGGCTTCGAGTCTGTATGCCGAGGGTCTTTCCTCGGGGACTGTCACTCCCGAGGGTAAAGAACTTAATGACAGGGCAGAGAGGAGGTCGATGGCACCTGGAATTAAAGATTATACAATTTATATAAAGACATATCATCATGAAATTCACACTCAATACGAATTCGTTTACAGAGTTTTTTATGAACTCGTTGGACCACACAAAAATTCATAAGGCCATCAGAGAATATCCATTTTCGTTTTTTCTGTATCATTTTGTGGTTATTGGCATAATGGTAGTGTGTGTATAGTGTTAATTATAGAGAGGTATTTAATAAAGTTCCTCTCTGTCTGTTTATGTTAATTTTGAGTTAAGAAATGCCTAAATGAGTGAGTTAATTTAGATTTGTCAGACTGAATTCCATCTTATGATGATTTTGTTTTCGACTGCTTTTGTTAGCGATGTAATATGAGTAGGTAACTATTCGGAGATGAAAGGGTACCTTCAAGTAAACGGTTATACTCCCGTCGGCTTGCATTTCACAGAAACGTAAAGCACGCAAACCGTCATATAGGGTATTGGGTATAATACAGATAATGATACCATCGCAACACTACTCCTGAATCTTATCTCGTCGATCTATTGGAGCCAAAGAAGCGTCTCACACCCCGAGCACCTTGTGACACTATAAACTTAAAGTGATCTTTTCATTTTCATAGTTTTGCGGCTTCTAACTTCCGTAGAAAGATTTTATCTATGTGAAAGCAGATCGAAAGATCTTATCTTGAAATTTAATGTGACAAAAATGCTATTTTCTAGCTTTTGATTACCGATGTTCTGATATCTGTACACCAAATAGCCCTAGACATTCATCGCCATACAAAAGAAAATGTGGAGATTTTGATAGAAAATTGTTTTATGGGTTTGTTGCGCGGACTAAAAATATATTTTTGATTTGTCCCAGGACTCTAACAGGTTTGTAAATCAAGAATCAACAAAGATTCGACAGCTTGATAAACTACCTTATGATATGAATTTTGACACTTTCTGAAAATCAACAATCTTTTTTGTTTTGACGATTGTATCCCACTAACTGTATCTAGTGTAAGCTAATTTAAAACTATTTTGCGTAACTTAAGTGGTTTGAGATCTATCATCAGATAGTTTACCTTTACACGGGAATCCATTGCATTCCCTTGACTCAGAACCCTGTCCCTCACACGGTTTCTCCCTCATGCACTTTCGCTTTCTAGTCTGGTATCCCTTGTGGCACGTAGTACTGCATCTGCTCCAGGAGGACCAGCCTTTCCATCCTGTAACATTCAATAGTGAAATGAAGTTAATTTATGGTAATTAGGATTTAATTGATATCAGTTGATTTATCAAAAATTAAATATGGTATTAAAGGGGTACACCCCCTCTAAAATGTTGGCAATTCTGGCCCCATTAATTGCTTGTTAATTTGTTATGTGGTCCAATGTGAGAATTGTGGTTGCCAAAATTTTTGACAGAAACGTGAATTTCCATAATTAGAAAACACAACGGGGAACATTAAAAACACAAACATATTTACTACATCAACCGAAAAAAACAATAATGAAAACTAGCTGCCGGACAGTAACAATCATTCTAAAAATATTTTTTATTTCCCTAATTTACTATAAATTACTAACTTTCGCTCTTAGTTAGGAAGTGCAAGGTTCACACTTAAAAACATAAACACAAACAAATATAAACACCATCGAGATATCGGATTAAAGAAGTATGATTTCGTTTCGTATTAAGAAGGATGTAACCGGGACCTGATGATGATGTTGTTAGACAAGAATAAAGAATTGGAAAAAAGATTTTAATTCAGAGCAACTTAATACAAACAAAAAATGCTGGTATGGATAGTGTTGGCAAAAATGTGTTTATTATCTTAATTTAATAAAAGGGGTGTACGCGTGCTTAGAAACTATTATTCAACAGCGGGCCTTGCTGTTTTATAGCAGTCTAGTGTGATAAATCCGAAGTAATACATACAACAAATCTACAATTGAAATACTTTAAACTCAACATTGATATATAATTGCATAATTATACAGTAAAACCAGACGTATCGAGTTCATTTTAAGGTATATAGTATCATTGCTTCCAGGCAAGGACCACCTAAAATGCATAAATTATCGACTCCCATTGTAAAAGGCCCCTTCCATTCCCGTAATTTAATTCTATAATAGTAGTGAACATTAGCAGCAACTGTTCCTGAGGTAAGGCCGATTGAATCAGCAGAAATATAATGAGATAAACTGATTATATCAATAGGGTCTGTTTATTCTTAAAATAACAAGTAACAAATATCCGGAACCGAATTAGATGTAAATGTTCTCCCAGTAACTTTATAACAGCTTACGTGTTTTGCGTGTACAATGCTCAATTTAATTTCCCATTAGAACACGACTGTTATCGGCATACAGAACATAACCCCTTGGACAAGTTTAAAAGTTGTCAAATTGGGTAAATAGACTAACACATATGATTAGGAGTTATACAATAAGGCCGACGGGTTGGGATCACATTACTTTTAGGTCTATTGTAAGCCCTTCATTTACTAATGCAGTCACGGCCACTCAAAGTCAGTCCCGTTACGTCAAGATCGCAGTTGGTCTCTGATTCACTCCAAGGAAACGAATTTATTGTAAATTGTGATTCATGTTCAAAACGGAAGGTGATGTAAGAAAAAGAAAACCTTAATTAAATGTTAATTAATTTCAAAAGCTGTACCGTCTTTGACCTTAGAACCCGACTTCATTCATTTTAAAATTACAATTTAAACTTTCCATTCGTGAAGCTGACAGTGGTTAATACAGAATCTGATGATTTGATACATATGACAGAGATGATACAAGTCCTTCAGAATGGAAACAAACAATCCATTTTAACTTTTTACATTTACTCAAATACCAGAAATTCTATCTCGGGGCTATACTTGGGAGGGGTGGCCTGAGATTCACATAGCATCAAGCACTAGATAAATACTTATCTAGTAATTTGATGTGGGTCAATTTGTCATTTTCCATGATCTTCGACATACTCATCTTAACATACCCCCAGTAGAAGTAAATACCTAAGCAACAGCTTTGGCCTTGTTGAATTCCAAAATACGGGAAAATTCAAAACAATCAAAGACTTATTGAATATGTATATTTAAGTTGTCTATCACATTAAGAATATTTAATTGTAAAATTATGAACATATAAAAAATTGTGTTTTCAGAGCTAAGGTTTGGATAATATTTAGAAATCAAAGTTTCTCTCAAATGTTCAATGTCAAATAGAATGCTAGTTAGTTTACCAAGCAATAGGGGTGATCATTCACATACTTGACTCATAGTGTTAGCCGGAGACTTCATGGCTATTTCTTTGTCATATTCATTATCGTTATCATTTAACAGAATACATTTAAACAGTTTTTATTAAGATAAATATCAAGATAAAGATCTTTGCTCTCGAGTACGGTGAAAAGAGTACCAAAAGAGGGACGAACAATTAGCAACCACCCGCTGTTCAGACGCCTTCCTAGAACCACAACAATACATAAAACTCCCACTCCGACACTTCGCAAGCCCCAAGCCCTAAAGAAACACATTATATTAAAGAACTACACTATTTGGTTTCACATAACGAGGCCTAAAGGTCTCCGTTTTTCATATAAAGCATCCAGATAAGATCTATTCTTTTTTTCCTGCTCAGAGACTCTAAAAATATGTAGTGTTAATTTTTCTATTTTTCACAGAATCTAGGCCCATCAGCTGAGACATATGAGGTGCTACTATCAGACATCTGCGCAAAGGATGAACATAGCCAAAAAATCAGGCTTTAGACATAGTCAGAAAAGTCAGCTTTGGATATATCGAATCAAAATTGAGAATTATTAATTTTAATGTTCAAAAAGTTTGAGAAAAATCATCATCGACTTTCCTGGAGGTGAACAAAAGTTTGAACAAACGAAAATGAGTAATTAAAAGTTAGTTTTGCACATAGCTTGAGGGCGCCAAAATCAGAGTTGTTTCAGAACTTACTTGGGAAAACTCAGTTTTGAACAAAGTCAGATAGTTTTTAATTAGTGGTAAGAGTCATGTAGCATAAGAAAGGCTTACATTTCTCGTTGCACATCTGTAGCCGTTGAAAGCTGAATAGTCACTTAGATATATCTATGGCATGAAAGAGAAACTGATCGTCTCCGGTTGGTGGGAATGCTACCCCTCGACCCACCTCGTTGTAACGATTTACCTCTAATAGGCCAGTAACGAGAAAAACATTTAAAAACAACTTCAACATGTGTATTGCATGTATAATGGCGATTCAATGATGCCTAGAAACATGACACGTGATTTTATTGTTTTGTGCTTATCATCATCGTAAAAACATTTGTGATTAGACGGCATTCGTTGAGGCCCATTATCAATAATAGCGTTATGTGCTTTAAAGATGATAATATTCGTGTTTTCTTTAACCAGTATTTGAGTTTTCACTATGTTTCTTATGTCAGCTCAATGGAACACAAAAAGTGAACTTTTATTTGGTTGGTTAAACTTTTAATTGAATAATTCCTTAGTAGACTTCCACCTGCATATTCTGGACAGAAAGCATTGTAAAAGATAAACAGACGCATATGTGAAAAATGATAGGATATTTTCAAAGAGCATAGACAAGTTACCGCTAAACAAACCATCTACAGTTTAACTGTGTAGTTTTTGTGTCTAATTCATCACAGACTCGAAACATTTAAGAATCATTGCCATAGTGATGGTCCCAATCTTTACAGAATTCATAAAAGTGGATAACCTGATTTGCTTTTAAAATAGATCTCATCAACTAACGAAACCATTGATCTATTAAGATTTTTAGTAATTGCTTCCAAAATAAATTTTGATCCGCTTTTTCTAAAAATCTTGATTTATCGATCTATAAAATATTTTGACAGTATACTTTTTTGGTATAATGTAACATGGTGTGGAATTTAGAATGGTAAAAAGAAAGTTTAAAAAAAGTAGTTGAGAGTGGGTTGATTCCATGATGCATGAGAGATTCACAATTTTTTAAAATATAAACACTCGTAATAATTCATTTATTTTCAATTTTGAAATCAATAAATTGTTTTCGTGTAAGTATTTATGAAAACAAAAAGCACCAGGTTCTGCTTAACAATGAACTTGATTGAAGAATGTATTTTATGAATTTATTCATGAACTGTTGAGTACTTTTAAAAGCAGTATATGACTCAATCGTCAATTTGTGAATAATACAGTGGCCGTGCCCCTATTCCAAGTCATAAGATGTCCTTCACATGAAAGAGTCTACATTAAAATTCAATAGAATTTTCAGATAATCCTTTGACAAATACATTTTATATTAAATAACCACAATACTTTGCTTTGGTTGATTTTCATTACTTAGTGATTGACTCTTGAACAATGTAAGTCAAGACCCTCCAAATGGAAACCTATTTTGGTAGACACAAAACACTTCTGGACGATAAACGCTCTAAACCATCTACAAATATTATCATTTTTCTGCATTGTTGGCTAAATGTGTTTAACATTGTAAGTTGGCCATAATCCACCTTCTTAATGTATTCTATGGTCTTTAAATCTCTAACTGTTCTTAAATGTCTACTCAGGTTTTATAATTGTATTTCCTTTGTAACCTCAACTGCTAAATTCTGCGTGTGTTGATGTTTATACTGAAAATTCTTCACATTTTTGTTCATTAAAAGATGCTTCACGAAGTCTTTCAAATCTGATATTTTTAATGAAGTGATAAATATATAAATCTTGGGCTTTTTCAAACACTTTTAGTTCTTTAATTACGTATTTGCATTATCTGAATAACTTGCTTTAATACGGTGTAATCAACTTGGCTTTCCATGGGTGTGTTTAACATCATCAAGGTAAGCTAAGATAGACGGTGAGAATTTGAGAAACGAGCAATCTACTTGATTTCTTCCTGTTGTATTTGAAACCCAATGTGTTGAAGTAATTAAAGACCCCCTGCTTTAAATGAATAAAAGTCGAAACATAATGTCTGTAAACTTTCTGTTTTGGCTAATTGTTAGGTACTAGAATAGGGAACCCCTACACTGTGGACCAGACAGAAATCTTCAACATAACTCCAGTTTTTATACTACCAACCATATGCTTACATTACCACTGCCCCAATTTAACACATGTCCAGTAAATATAGGAAAACCAACGAATATTAATAAATACACCCAGATAAAGTACAAAACATAGGAAATGATAATACCCTGGATTTGATAATACCCTGAAAAATATTCGTTGTGATTTTAAAAATTATAAACTCATCATTTCATATCCTTTCAGAAGGTGTGAATGATGTTTTAAAGGATCTTAATAGAACAATATACGACGTAATCGAGTGATATTCATTTTTTAGCTTTTCAAAAAATGTACATACGTAGTACGTAACTTTGCCCGTCTCTCCTTAAAAATATAACTCGAATGGAATGCATCTGTAAGATTTAAAGTGGATTGTATTTATTTGTTTCTATCGTTGTTATTGTCAAATGAGAAAGTTTCTGTCTATGATCGAAGGTCTGTCTCTGACCACATTTGGTTTTAATCAAAATAATACAACACAAATATTATCGTTTCGCCCGCTGTAAGTGCCATAATTCACCACTTTTCTAGTCATTATCATAATTTAAATCTAAGGCCATCTTCTCTAAGTGTTGATGGGCATAGGCTTTATGTGGTTTAGAAGATAGAAATGGGATACCCCATCCACTGATAAGGTTAGTCTGTGGAGGTAGTTTGTAGCCACTGCCAACATTACACTCACCGATCTCTTGACTCACAACAGTATAGAAGTCAAAATTCAAAATGCACTTGTAAATTCAGAATTGAGACCGTGTCGCAGGCTTTAGAAGGGCTACAATGACGTGTCGGAATCTAAAACGTTTTTATCGTATTTAGCGCTAAACATGACAAATCTCAATACATTCTCTGGAATCTGGGAATGATATCGATGATCACATTTTACAATGAAAGAATTGAAAATAAATCTAATTATGGCGCTCAATACGATTATTTGCCGCAAAATTGCACATTATGAATTGTGAAAGTTCTTATATAATTCTGTATAAGATTTAAACACGTAGTCCAAAATAGAAAAATGCATTTTCTGGATAAGAATATAAGAATACAGTTGTGTGGGGGATATGATAAGATAGGTGCGAAGTGTAATCTAAATCGCTTTTCTATCAACTGTAATTGAATTAGCATCCCTATAAGTTAAACATCTTGTTAACAAACAATACCATCACTCACCTAATGTTTCTAATACGTATTCCTCATTTTGCAAATTGTAGGCTCCAGCAGCACCAAAAATATCATCATATTTAGCAGACAAACGACCTCCAAATGTCGTTAGAAATAGTATATGGTTATCTCCAGGATTTACATCAGCATAGCACATTATTCGATCACCAAAATTACTTATATTATATACATTTGGTAATTTAGGGTCAATTTTGATTGTCTCTAACATTTTTTTGCCTTTTAAAACGTTGGCTATTTGAAATTCGATAGAATATGTATCTGCTGACGTCCGTATATTTTTATAAGCATTCCTGACGGAGCCCGTCACTACTATATCTGCAAGGAGAGCCTTATCCTGGACACTCAGGGGCTCCCATCCGTTGAGCAATAATATACACCCTGATGTTATTTTAAATAAGATAGAAAATACAATTCCATATGAAATAAAGCATTTCCTCAATGCGACGGATGTTTCCCACATAATGTGAGGTATCCTTGTCGGGTACTTGTCCCAGTTCGTATTGTCCGCGATTTTAGATCAATATTTCCTAGACTCCGTAAGGATGTCATGCCATTTAGTATGGACCTTGCTCCGCCTGTGCCAAGCTACGATCTCTCTCTTTTACCTGTGTGCGAAGGTAAGTTATTGGTTCACCTGTGAACAAGAGGTACGCTCCTGCCTCCTGGCCCAGTCGATACCTGTCCCGTTCTAATCCTATCACCGCACGCAGAGTTCCACCAACACTTCACCGCGGATTCCTACCTCATTCAAATATATCCTCCCGACTGTGTAATTTAATACAATTACAATAGCCTCAATAGCATAATAACAATTTTAAAATAAACCTTGATGTTCTTTTAACCACTTTAACTTTAACAGTGGTTTTCAAGACCTTAATTCAAGATGCTTTAATTAAAAAGTCCTCAAACTTGAACTTTTTTACAATTTGTAGTAACTCGAAACTTATGTCCGGTTGTTCGTCTATTTCCTCAGCGAACTGATGGCGTTACTGATATCTCGAACGAATTTCCACTGACTGGACAAAACGGACCCCAGTGTCTTTCTCGTGGGAGCGTTATGATCTATTTGGACAAGCAAAGGCAAAACAAACAGTTTATATATTGGTTTACATCCATCCTTAAGAGCAATCATTTGACTCACTATCTAATCAAGTAAGTCACCTAATAGCGGATTGCTATCTTGCATTAATCCGCCAAATTGATTGCGTAAAGTTGACTAATTTAAACAACTTATCATCACCAGGTCGTTCCTAGATGAATGTAGTCACCTAATGGGGTTACTCGTAAAATCAGCCAAGGAAAGTGTCAATATGAACTGATCGGGTTAAGAAAAGTGTAGGGGTGTTACAACGATGCCAGATTCAATTTATGTTGGTATATGGAATTATATTTTTACAGTGTAATAAAATTCCAGTTTCAGTAATTTTTAGAAGAATATGTTGAATAACAGAAAAAATCAAATAAGATGGTTTAATTTTAATCAACTTTATGAAGGTATCTGTTTGATCTCTGACCAGAGTTGAAGAAGTCATTTTTGACATCTTCAACATCTTGGGGGTCTACATTTGTATATTTTTAGAGTTATCTTCTTTATTTCAATGTTATCACCCTCCTTGGAAAGCCTCAGGAACTGATTATTTTCAACATGAAATTTGAGATTGGATTTATGTTATATATTAGCTGATGAACAACGCCATCTCTTTTCTGAATCAAAACATATAAATACACATGTAAACGAGGTCGGTAATTTTGCTATCAAATATTTCATTTCTTATTCAATCAAAAATAAAAAAATGTCTGGATATAATTCTTCATGATAATAACAACCTGTTGATCGTAGTGATTACAACGGTGGACAACAATCAGACAGTGCAATTATACGATCCATGTTAATAAGCTAGTTAGAGCGAACAAAATGGCCGTATAGCGTAACAAAATATAGCGGACGATAAATGCAATCAAGTTGTGTTCGCCCTCATCAATCAATGGACTTCAATCACACAAGATTTGTTTCGTTATACAACATGCTGTATTCCAATTACCCCAGTCGCAACCATATTGATTGCGATTATGCCATCCTTCTCCTATAGCGACCCTATTGTGATCGGGAATATCAATAGCACTAATTCAGATGTCGACATCGCGCCACCGTATGTGGGCCTGGTTGCAGCGGATGATCTGATCATACTGGCACCGGTAGTTCACGGGTGACCTGATTAGACCACGGGACAGTCTGGCACCGGATTATAGTTCTGAATCTCCGCCTCGATACCTTGCTAGACCAAGTATCCGCTAGAGTTAATCTCATCACTGACGCCATCATCAAATTGTAAAAAAGGAAATTATTAGGACTTCTGTAAAGAGAATATAATTTTATTAAAATCGTCCATAATGATTTTAATTTTCAACCCATTCACATGTTGTAGAATGTACCTGGGCGGTGTCATGATTTCTAATGCTTCCTCCTTTCAAAAAGACAATAATGTTTATGTTACATGACGTGTTGTGAAATAAAATATTCAAGCTAAATATTCAAGTAACACTTAAGACACAAAAAACGCTTTAAATAACTTTGATTTGGATACACGTTTCATAAACAATAAAGGTGGAGATCTCAACGTACATGGCCCATGTGTGTCCAGCAAAAAAGTTATAAACTCAACATATATGATCTCAACCATTCTTTAAGTGTAACATGAAAGTTCTTTCCATCAAATATGAGGAAAATTAGAGTATCTAAGCTATTGACTGGACAGACGTACATACTTTGTACACAATTTGGTCATTTTTTCTTCCCTAATAATCTAGAATTTTACCTGCATGAAATCCTTATTAGCTATCTGGATTGGAAAAGAAAAGTTCCCCAATATAACAATACCATCTTTACGGGCATCTTTATAACAACGGATTGAACAGTAACCAAAATATAACCAGACACCAAAGGGTAGTTTTTAGTTTCATAACCTCACCATTGACATGTTAGGTTAGGATACAAAGATTACAACATTTAGGGAACAAATCTGATTCAATGTAGATGTATGCACACATTAGAAATTGTCAAATATTTAGATTGTAAGGCCAAACTACAAACAGACAAGAGAACCTGATTACATTGAAAACTTGATAGTTTAGTAACTAATTTAGGAAAACTTCAAATACAGAAATTAGGTCAATGTGATTGCTCATTGAAAACCTTTCATGGTTTCACATCTTCATATGACACTGAAGTGTGATTATAGTTATCTCGCAAACAAATGATTCTAAACACATACGTATTCATTATTTATAAACAATCATTTATTTACAATTTACAAAATTATACAATTATATCGCACAAAGTATGTATGGTATATGGGGATACATTCAAATAATATGGGGATACATTGAAATAATATGGGGATATATTCAAATAACATGGAGACAAGTTTAGTAACTAATTTACAAATACAGTTAAAGCTTTCTTTACAGCAGTGGCTTAAAAAAAGTTTTGTTTAAAATAATACATTTTTATAGTAATATAATATCAAGTTGAGATCTGTTGCTATATGTATATCTAAACAATGGTCCATGTTTTAACAAAGTGAATTCCCCTGGATAAAAATCCATATGCATGCTACCAAAATTGAATACATACTTTAAAAAGTTGATTTCAATTACATTTTCTTGATTATTAATTTTGTATCTTGAATTTGAAATATTTTTATAATTATTCATGATTCTTTGATGACATGCATCAAAGTTGCATTGATATTTGCTTACATGTGAACAGGTTAAAGTGCTTTGAATTGAACTGAAGTGATCAACATAGTTTATTTACTCATCAGCTCTTGTTGAAATCATAATATTAGCCATACATATTTAGGAGTTGACAAAATGTATCCAACTGATTTAAGCTTCTAAGATAAGTAGATTGGGAAATGTGTCAGAAAACAAAATATTCCGTTACTGGTACACTTACAATTTTGCACTTAAAAACCCTATCATCACAAAATATTTTGGTACCTACACACTTACAATTTTATGCTTGAATAACCTTGTATCAAATCATGTAAAAATTCTGTGTTTTCATTAACTTCATAACTAAATAAAATGATAATTTTTTAACAGAGTGATTCCAGGTTGATAATTTTCAGGACTGACTCAGTTTATATTCATATTATCCTATGCATTCAATTAACATTTGTGCACTTTCAATATTGTATTCCATTAATCTAGTATTCCATTGAGCGTATTGTAGCTCTGAAGTATGCAAGTATACCATTACAGCAATCATTGTCATGGATATAAATGTATATGAACATGTCTTTTTCTAACAAACGTATCCCTGAATGCATAAAGTTGCAGGAGATGAAGTCCCTCAGGCATGTAGCCAGAATCTTCCAAGGGGGGTTCACTTTTACAAAAAATCTAGGGGGGTTCACTTTGGCAAATTTGTCCAAAAATCACTCAAAAAATAGTCAGAATGGTGAAAAACTGCATGATTTTGAAAGAAATTTTGGCCCGAACCCCCCTGGCTACGGGCCTGTCCCTATTGTCATACGTTTCTTGAATCTCATGGTTTATATGTTACACAGATTATGACCAGCACATCTATGTCACTCTACCTCACAGTACAATTGTAATTTGGTTTTACTAATTAAACATCAATTTTCTGCAAATGTGGAATAATTTTCCCATTGAGTCGTTCAGTTTAGACTCAACTGTGTAAATGCTGAACATTTCTTGATTAATATGAATAATACAAAAACTAATCAACATTTGCACTCATTCATGTAGACCTCGATGAATAACTCTATGGGTGTATCTGCAGAATTTTCTATCGTGAAATCATTTTGGATTTTAACTCATAACAATTATAGTAATTTATCGCAGTGTTAAACAAAGAAAGTCTTGATGATGTTTTGTATAAACCATGTCTCGTTGACCTGCATGTGATCTCCGACTGTTCCCAGGAAGTGAAGCTTACCCGCCTCATTCATTGCCTTCAGTCCCAACCAGTCCTGAAATTACAATTATTCAGCAATGTTATTCTGATTAACAATTACATATGTTTTCTGTTAAAAGAAGTTGTGTTTCAGTGTTAGTTATGACTATGAATTTATTTTATTTTATTTTTTATTATCATATTCATTTAGTATTACATTAACAGTGTTGGCACTTGATACCCATAAAAGGGCATATCAGTGCTAAAATCAAAAGTTGTACAATATAAAAATATATTACAATAGACTACAAGGAAAAGAATTAGTTGGTAGTAAGTCTCAATAAAATTTTCAAAATTGTATTATATGTTTTCCTCTCAGAATGGATATCCCATATTTTAAAGGAGTGGTATCAATATGGTGAACGCGTTTCTCTTAAACATTCTGAAAATTTTACACATTGTCAATTTAATGGTCATCCTTTGGAAGGTAACATTATAATTATAATTTTTTTTTTTTTTTCTCTATATTGTTTTAGAAAACACATCAGACACTTCTTTCACTCTTGGTATCATATGTTCGGAATAAAAGAAAACAAATATTCAAACCTCATTGGAACAAACCGACATAAACACAACGGGTCTCTCTCTCTATTGTAATTGTACAAAGGAAAGTTTGGTTGATTTGAAAATAAGTATCTTGTTAATGAAATAAAAGGTTTATCTTAATTTTTATCTATTTTGGGGGGTTTTGTTTTAAGTTTTTGCATACTTTTTGTTAAATCAACCAAAATTTCCTTTGTATAACTATAATATTGAGAGGTCTAAGAAAATGTTGTATATGCTATTTTGTTCCAACAAGGTTCAGAAAGACATTTTATTTCATTCTCAAGAATTGGTAGAAAGGAAAAAAAACAATATACCAGATGCGAGTAGAAATAATCTTGAGTTTACATCATCAACAATTCACAATTCAGTCAAACTGATGTCATATTTGGAATCTACAAGTAAAATTACACTTAGAAATGTGGTTTTGAAAAGAGTTTATCAACTTTGAAAATTTAAATTTCTTTGAAAATGTGACTTCTAGGTCGGGGCACCCGTAGACTCCATGTTGTAAAACCACAAAAAGTGAAATATCTTTTTTTGTGTTGGGTAGATAATATTTTCTTTTACTGTACATATTTTAATTTGTATAACTATCAGATACATAAAGGTAATATGAAAAGTGAACCACTAAAACTGATGAATATTCAAGTTTAAGGGAATTTTGTAATACCCTGCCATGTTAATTCCCCCGAATCAGCCACCTGGTGGCGAAACTGGTAACTACCTACTTGCATCTGAGTAATTGCACTAAAAAACAAAAGATGTTAACAAAAACAGTTATATAGAATATATATAAATAATTTTTGCATTAAATTGTTGCCAATTAGTCAACATTACATAAAGGACCGTGTATTTTACAGAATGTTTTCAATAATTGGTTTAAGAGAAAAACATTGTTGAATTCAGTTCACCATATTGATACCTATCCCTTGCTTCCGGAGCTGTCAGAAGCTTCCCGATAGGGTACTTCCACATACAAACACACCAACAATGTATAACTTACAATGGGAACGGATTTTACTCGAATTTTACTCTATTCGAAAGAACATGCAAGTTGATGGCAGGGTATTTTTGTTCATGTGTGAGCAGTCCTTAAGAAATATGAGACATTTCTACGCCCTCTTTCACTTCTAATAACCCAGATGTGAGTAGGCAGTTTCCAGTTTCACCACCAGGTGGCTTAATCAGGTCAGATAGCATGGCAGATTTAGTACAAAGTTCCCTTTAACTTGAATATTCATCAGTTATGGTGGTTCATATTACCCTTATGTATCTAATAGTTATGCAAATTAAAATACGTCCAGTAAAAGAAAATATTATCTGTCCAATACAAGAAAATATATTCCACTTTTTATGTTTCTATAACAGGGGGTCTATGGGGAATTTACCCAACCTAGAAGTCACATTTTCAAAGATAAACAATTTTCAAACCACGCTTGTGATTTTACATGTAGAATTCAAATATGACATCACTTTGACTGAATTTTGAATCTTTAACAATGCAAATAAAGATGATTTCCACTTGCATCTACATATCAAGTCTATTCTTAAATATGGATCTCACCATTGCCAATATTCCATCTTGGACAACAATTAGATCCAAAGTGAAATTCTTGGAGAGGATCATAGGATATATGGATTAAAAGTAGTATTGATCCAATGGAAATGGTAGGTTATGCATGCCTGAGGCCAAATTGGATGGTTGGTGCAAATATGATCACAAGCATTCGGTCTGTGTATTTTGCAGGTGACAAATAGTTCTAAATTAGTGACATCTATTACCTATGCGTTAATATAAAACAATATTTCAATGACAAGCATGTGCTGACATCTATCAGTAGTGTGTAAGTAAAGTAATCTAATGGAATATATTAGGTGACCTTTAATTAAGCTTGTATTCGCAAATGCAACTTACGCTTGTCGGCCACCGATTAACCTACTATTTTATGGGTAACTCTTTTATATATGAATAGTACCTGACACTATATCTAAATAAGTTGGTCATAAAATACTAGGTTAATCCGGTAGCTGACAGGCGTTAGTTGCATTCACGAATACAAGGTTAGGTACAGCCATTAAACTTGTACATTTCAACACATGGGTAATCCGAAAACCTCCCAATCTGACCATTTTTTCGGTTCTGTATTTTCTTCCTGTTTTTGACTTGTATGTTTAAGACACCTTGAGTGTGAACATCTCTCAATTTGAACAGTGAACAGTCATATTGAAAAATTAACCTGTCTTATATAAACACTTTTGAACATGAAAAATCATATGTATTATACAAATTGTTTTTATTAATCACCATTCAGAGAGACTAGAATGCCACATTAATTCTAAAGATAAGCTACTCCTGGGATGTTTTAGTATTGACTGAAAGCTAATCAGTTTTAGGACTGTGAGGTCACCCAAACTATAAATAGTACTACATTGTACTTAAGGAAATTGTGTCCAGAATTTTCTTCAAATCCTCAATCCTGCAAATGTAAAACCCTGGGAATGTGAACATACCTCTTTATAAAGTGGACTCTCTTGTAGTGTATACTTCTCTTTGGCTTGCCCAGGTTTATAGAATCCAAACCACTGAAACATGAATACTTCAATCAGTAATATTATATATGCATGCCATTGAAGAAGAAATAGCATTGAAGAAGAAACAAAGAGTAGTAGTTATCACTTTGAATATTGTCACAATCTCCAAATTCACATCTCAAGTTAAACATAAACATTAAGTACATGTACAGGGTGTCAAAAAACAACGGCACCCCCCTCTACAGCAAAAAGTCCTTAATGTTCCATATCGTGTCATACCTCATTTGAAAGATAATTTAATTCTGGAGTTACTCATCAAAGGACGGGTGTCATTAAGAGCCCTTTTTAGCCCCCAAAGATAACTGATAATAATGCATATCATATTGAAGAAAAATCATTTGTGCTTTATGAAAATACAATTTCAGCGAATTTTGACCTTTGATGTTCACACAACAGTCATTTAAAGATCATATACCATTTTTGGTGTTTTTACAAAAAATTCTTTATTTATTGTTGTCTAAGTCAATAGTATGTAAGTATTAACCAATTTAAATATATTAAAATGTAATATATGAAATACTGAAGAAAAGATACAATTAAAATTATTTTCATGGAAAGCACATAGGGCAATATTGACAAAATGCAAATGCTATTTTGGTAGGTTCTGGGCTAGCAATGGGTACATTTCAACTGTGACTGTAATGGATTACTATTGACTTTTATCAACATCACAGGGCAATATTAAAGCAACTTAAATACAAGGAAAATCAAAGATTTCCTCTCATTTCTAAAACGAAGAACAAAAGCATGAATTCAAGGAAAATAAATGATGGCCTGTGCCAATTATATAACATATGAGAAAGTTGTGGCACAGTTACAGGATATGTATAGGATATCATATGATTTTAAATGATTTAATCTTTATCTCCGAGTTGATATCAATATATTGCCAAGTTAGCATAGCGAATTAGCGCAGATATTGATATCAATGAGTTGGATTAACACAATATCACGAAAATGCATTGGATGTTCTATTTTTCCCATACTTCACCTCTAAAACTAAACAAAGCATATCAAAACAACATCCATTCATTCATCCCCGTGATGTCATGAAATCACTATGTAACAAAACACATCATATTGGTGGTAGTTTTCAAATCCCTGCCAAAAGGTGATATCTGTGAAATATTTTCCGTATTCCAAAGATATCACTTTTTCCACGCATTTGCAAAATATCATAAATATGTTTTTATGTTACCTAACAGAGCGGAACAGAGTTCAACTATGGGATAAAGAATAAAAAATAGGTACATAATTGAATTACCACTCCAAAAATATTAAATATGAGGGTTTAAAGAAAGAATATTGAATATGAGATTAAAAAAGACAAGTGGCCTCATGTCTCACGTTACCCAAACCCCAGATCCTTGATGTCATATATACTTGTATACTGTATATCAATGTTATTTACTGGGAGGATTAAATATGGAGTGTATAGCAATGGTCAATACGATATTTCCAGATGGATATTTTTCCCTAGAAACGGAACCCAAACTCAGTCATGACATAGAAGCTAACTTTTGCAATTAATAGAAACTTGTTTTTTATTATATTTTTGTGTTCTATATTTGAGATGAAATAATATGAGATTCATTTCTACAAGAGGATGGAACGAATGTGAACTTGTATATTGAACTATACTCCTTTTCTGATTAAACAGAACAACATTTTATCCAAGCCAATTAAGAAAACCAAGGCCAATGAGTGTAATTTATGCCCAGTTAAACTAACACAATAACAACTTTTTGTCTGGACTCACTTATTATGTAAGAATGAATTGTATTACTGTTTACTGCATTAAATGTCAAGTATACTATCTGTATTTAATTTCAAATGCCTATCTCACTTATCGAAGGTATACAAGAAATGTTATTTTGAAACAAATTCAGCACAACCAAAACCATGTCCACATAATATGACAAATCCAAGATGGCTGCCACAATTTTAGATCCATGCACATGTGAAGAAGTTAGAAATACACATGGTCCACAAGTTCCATCCCCAATAAAATGGGAAGTTTAAGGTTTTCACACATATCAACTCTATTCCTATATACTTTATATTTGTGGTAAGGCTTGTGGTCTAGGTAAACTTAGCATGTTCATGTACCTCCTATCTTCTGAAGCTAAAAACAGAAATAGTGACTTCAATTGAGAAAAATGAATCTTATGGGCTCCATATACATTTTGAGTGGCTGTCCGGCTTTAGTTAGATACTACTGATAATCTGAGATTGAAAATTATGTCAAGTTTAGTCCTCAGCCTCTCATAATGGATAACTTCGAGGTAATTGTGTTGTTACTGCAAAAACCTCTATTTCTTCATCACAAATCTACCATATTTTGCATCTGTCAAAACCCCTCATTTCATTATAATTTTCAGACTTTTGCTTGTGCCATCATTAAATAGATATATTCAACTTGTTATTCAGAATATTTTAAGAACTTTTCATGAATTTTTTTATTTTCACACTTTTGAAAAAATGACTAAGTCAGAGAATGGCCTCTTAATGGCATATCCCCTTTCATTTAATAAAACTTAATATTAAAAAGGCTACATTGTTTCAAAGTTTGCTACTTGGTACTTTGTTTGCTGCTCTGTTACTGGTTTAAAGTCAAATCTTCAGAAAGTGAAATATGAAAGAATTACCCTAGATTTCAACTGCACTGAACATATGGGTTCATTTCTTAAAAACAGGGTATAGGAACTGATAGACAAAGAGCCTCTTGAAAAAAGACACAGTAAGGATGTATTTCTGAAGAATGTGAAGAAAGTGCGAAGAGGATTATGCAATGCTACACCTTTATGTGAATTTTTATTGAAATCATATCTGTCCAGATAAGCTGCTGTTTGAGCAGCAACTGGTGGTCATACCAACTACTAAGAATCAGCTGTAAATCTGTAAAATTATATGATATAAAGCTGAAATTTCTCAGGTAACTCCAGAATTAAATTTTCTTTAAAATGAAATATGACACACCATGTAACATTAAGTCCTTTTTGCTGTAGAGGGGGTGCCGTTGTTTTTTGACATCCTGTAGTTCTCACTAAGGTAATTTTTGAACATCTTTCAATTAGTGCAATGCAGTGAACCCAAATAATCTTACTTTAAGACTCTGGACCCCCCCCCCCTTTATCTACTTCGAACTTGTGGGGAGGTGTGCAGTGGGGGGAAGCCACAAACATTTGCCGCTAGACTAGACCCAAAAATATGATTAAAGACTACAGAGCAAAACTCAACATACTCATCAACCATTATTGATAATAAAACATTTAAGGAGAGACACTTCTGTGCTATTCCTAATGACTGTTTATAGAAGATTGATTGCATGCGAAAATGATGTTTCATGTAACGATGCAGAAGAAAATGAATCGATTCATTAAGTACAGTCAAACCTGTGAAGTGGAATACCCAAGTATGGGGAACTCTTTCTAAACAAGGCATTAACATGACAAAGTGACACCACCATGAAAGTTATTGCGAATTGTTACAGACACCAAACTCCAAAAGCAAACCACTGAACACAGTCCACAAAAACTTGGACACTTAATACGAGATAAACTCAAAATGCAGAATTAATCTCAATGTGGCTTCTCCCACTATTGTGAGGTACAAAGGTGTTCCACATGCACCAGTTTTACTGTACATAAATATCAAATATGTGGTTTTGCACAAAATGTCATTTGAAAGGCAGAATCAGAAAAGACTAAACAGAATATGAAATTGAATTGACATGATTTAGTTTCAGATTACCTTGTGGGTTTATTACATTCTACTGCTCACAGGTGTGGAATCTTGTAATATTATAACACAGAAAGCTACATTTATGCACAGACTGTGTGAAATAGATTAACTGAACATCAAGTTTGTCACAATTGAACTGGGTAAATTATACATGCTCCGGAATGTTTTCATTCCCCATGTTATACTGCAAATAGACTACATAGAGGTTATTTACTAGGAGGGATTCAATATTGGGTTTATTCCGAGGGACAATATGATATTCCTGAGGGCTCAGAGGGAAATATCATATTGTCACAAGGAATAAACCCATATTTAATCCTAACCAGTAAATAAGCATGTATACATGAACATGTACTCTCCATATATTAATACCTCAGACTCTTTAGGTTCCACAACAGTGTCCTCAGTAAATTGAACCAGTACCAAGTTGGCAAGCTTCATCAGGTTAGTCTTGTATACAGGATTCTTTACCTGAAAAGATAAAAGTATGTGCTATTGTGTACAGGTGTCCCCCTTGTTGAAGGTAAGGTGTTACAGAAACACTGAAGATATCCATATATTGTATTTGTTTGTGCAGGTGATATCAAAAAATATTGAATTGTCTCAAGGGTATTTTTGAAAGTCATCAATCGTTGATATACGATTTTTGAATCAATTATCCAATTCGTTTTGTAGAATCATAACGTCTAGGCTACAGGGTAAATATCTCCGCCTGACCATATCTGCGAAGTTATCATTTTCAAACAAATAGAACTCAGTAATTATATTGTGAGAAAGCATAAAATTAATATATGACATAGCTCGGGGAAGTTCAAATTCACTGAATACAATAAATCATTTTTACCCGTTCCTGATTAATATCGGCCAAGAAGACGCTCTTTGCCTTGTATTCATCTTCATTCATTGGATCATGCCAATATTCAGCCTGAACAATCCTATAGACAATAAAAAATATGTATCTGTTTGAAGTCAATATAATGAACCTTGAACTAAGGAAGATATATTGCAGTATGAAACTAATCATGTATGCATCATTGCTTATATTTACATCAAGTTTTACTTTTTTATTGTATTTTTCATATAACACAATAGTTATTGGCTTCTGTGGTCAATCGGAAAACATCAGATTTTCCCTCAGGAAAAAATACATTCAGTTTCTCACAATAAATAACCTACCATTACAAAAATTGTGTGAAAGGTTTATTTTATATGTTCCCTTTGTTGTGGAGTGCCTCTTCAGGAAAGCATGAGAGATCATCTAAAGTGTGGAAATCTAGATTTGCTTTAAAGTTGCTGTTTTTTATTGTCGGTGATTCTTGTATATATTCTCAATAAAACGCAGCTAGAGAATACATTAATGGACTTACCTATTCTGAACAAATCTGAAAGAATAGAACACACAATAAGTAACCAGTTATCTTGGACACTTTATCTAGTTTATTGTTCAATTAGAATAGTAATATTGTAATAATATTGACATGAAGATTTAAACTAATAAAGGTTATTGTTATTATTTGTAATAAAATAAAAATGAAAATCATTGTTAAAGTGTTTCATGTCACATAAATTATATCAAGAAAAAAAGTAACTCAATGGGGTAGTTGTACAATCCAATAGGCAAAATGCTTTATAATTTCATTGTCACCTTTTTCACTCACTGACTGGTTCAGGTCATACACTTAAGCTTTCATTTGGTATATAACATAAGGGGGTATGATTTCATTATTTAATCTATATAACAGTGATTATTAATACAGATAGAAGTATCTATCTTCATTGAAAACCTGTCATTGTAATTCATTCTATCTTCGTTTTAAAACCTGTCATTTTCACAAGTAATATTCCCCTTGCTCGGAGGTATCAAAAGTGACAGATGCACCATGATACATTCAATGAAATATGAATCTTATTTCTCATATCATTTCATATTCATTTCAGGTCAAAATTGAATTGAAACGCAAACTCAAGTTCAAGTCGATGACACATTCTTAGTTCTACCCAAACTCTAATATTCCACTTAGTAATTCTTTAATGAATAATAATACAATAATGTCAAATAGTCATCTTACACAGTTAGTTTCAGTAGTAGTGTTTCTATAACGTCTGATCTTTGCACACAAAGCATTATGGGTAAAGTCCATTTGGGTAAAATGAGCAAGTTTAGTTAGTCAGCGTGATCGATGCTTTGTTATAAGTAAAACCTGGCCAAAACAAACATTGGAAAACCTAGTATATTCACTTTACAAGATCATCACATGGTCACATTTTACCTTCCATATACATGTACATGTAGACCAAAGGAACAAACAAGTAAATGATGGGAAAAAGTGAAGTGAAAAAGTAACCAAAACCGCTGTCAGCAGTTAGTTATATACATGGAATTAGTTTTTTTATATTTCTTTACATTCATATTCATACACAAATGCATTGGTCATGTAACTGTTTGGGAATGACGTACACATGTGTAAATATATCAGGTATAAATTGTAGAAATATATCATACAGTACATGAAATTCCACTTCATGCCACATTTGTGTCATTAAACAAAAGTGACAGCTATTTTCATACTTAGCAATGGACGGACGGATGGACGGACGGACGGACGGATGGACAGGGGAGGTAGGGAAGGAGGGAGGGTCTGACAGACAGATAGACAGACACATATACATGTGGTAACAATGGTTTATAAGAACTAATAATCACTAAAAGTATGCTTACCCAACATAAGCTCCATAATTCAACAACTTTCGGACATAATCGCAAAGTGTAGAATTATTCCCAGGGCATTTTGGAAGGCCATAAACTCCTAAAAATTAATGGGAGCACTGTAACATCAGGTCTCAATGGGAACATAATGAAGGGAAAAATAAGCAAACGTCAACTTCAAGTCTGAAGAAACTTTGCTTCCTCCTTCTAAAATTTCACCATTGGAGTTATTCTATGCGGTACATGTATTTTTAGTTCTACAATTTTTAAGAGAAAATTTTGTCATCCAGCTTTTTTTCATTATACAGAAATAAATCAAACGTACCACAATCAAATTTTTAATCTTTTCTTCATCAGAATATATGAAACACAATTTTACATGTAGTTAAGAAAAATCAGTTGAAAATACTGATTATATCATGGACACATCATATATGATCGTCTTCACCTCGACAATTTATTAATGGATATTGAAGTCCCCATCACCTAAGATACTGCAAAATTGGATTCCCTTGAAGAGACTCTAACCATGAAAGCCCATGCTCTAACCATGATAAAATTCCAAAACAGATCCCAATGGGAGGGTCTATTGGTGCACAGATGCTCCTATAGATCACCATATTACAGGTGAGCCAGTTGTCACTGGTCCCCACGTGGCCCATTTTGGTCCATTGAATTATGACGTCATAATTTTAAGATTTTTTGTTATTTGTTTACACAACAATCCTGCGGTTGCAGTGATGTTGAGATTACCAAGGAACCAATAGACAAAAACTATAAATTTTGTATGACATTACTAATCATGTTGTGGCCAATCTGATTGAACCATTAATTTTATTATGTTATATTATGGCCAATAACAGTTAATTAACAATTCTTTTTATCGTGAGAACTCTTTGTTAGGCTTACAATGCAGAAAACCACATTTCTGTAGCTGCAAGTAGAGAAAACCTATTTCAGTTGTCCTTTAATAGTAAGATTTTACATTCTATTGCTTTGCCTTGATTATCTAAGGATCCAGTTTATGGTCAAGTCATTATCTCAAGATCCCATGCCTTGATACATAAGAACTCGTTGGAAATTAAACAATTAACAGTTTTGTTAATCTAGTTTGGAAATCAGACTTATTGTCTTGTGCATGTTCTTAGTTCAAGCATAGGCTTTCAAGTAGTAAACCCCATGGTTCAAGGTTCGTGAGAAATACTAAACAAATTATTTTTTCTATTTGAGACTTATTGTATTTAGAGTCTCGGGGCTTATACACAAATCAATTACAATACATAAAACATTCCAATATATAATAAAAAAAGCAATAACATTCTTCAATAAACATTAATGAGGCCTATGGGTATATGATTGTTCATTTCCTTGAATATAAAAGTAAGTCATGTGAAAACATGTGAGATGCATATGTACTAAAAAAGCACAACCGTTATGGTCTCTTAGTGTTTCCCTGCAATACTCCTAATCATGGACATCCAAAGAGCCTTAAGTTTCTTCAATGAAATACAAAGCTTGTAGAAAATATACAATGTACACTCTTATGGGTATCTAGTGCCATCCATGGAAATCTAATGCTAGATAATTGTATCAAATTAAAAAAATTAAAAAAGAAGGATGCATGGTGTCATTCCAAATTTTATATTTGGTGCATTTTATGATCAAAAATAGGCATCAAGCCTTTACATGAATTTAAGAAAGAAAAGGAGAAAATGGTATCTGGTACAATGGAAGATTGATGACTCCTGAGTTATTGATTACACATACCTTGGTGCTGCCCTCCCATTGAGACCAAGTTGTGCATAGGCGGGTTGGGACAACGTTGGGCAACTGCTCTCCTGCAAAGAAAAAAACATCATTCAAGATTTCAATGAAATAATTGATGAGAAAAAGATTTTTTGGTACAGCTGTAATATAAATAGGAATTTATTGTGACTCCACTGAATCCTTTTGTTGTTTGTATTCATTTTGTTTTCATTTGTACACATCATTCGTTTACACTTTACATCAATGACTTAATACTTTCCAGTGGTAAGAATTGACATAAAACATTCCAGTGTCAGTTGTGACTTGTATTTCCATTGGGAAATTTACAGCCTGTCTAAATCATATAATTGTCTAATAGGACTTGCTTCAATGCTGTACCATTTACATATTATTCTCATTTGATTTTATTGGGAGTGTTTTTATAATATAGGTTTCGATGCTCCAATTTAAGAAAGTATATACGATAGAGTGGAGTTGATTAACCGATTAATTGAATGTGACATGATATTCTATGGGTAAATTAAGGATCTCTCAATTGTCAAAGGTCTCACAGTTAATACTGAGAGCTAAAAATCGTTCTTAGTGAAGATGAAATATTGAGAGAGCATAAAATGGAACAATAAAAAAAATTATGCGAAAATAAAGCAGAATTAATGCCAATGTAAGAGTTTCTAAATGCCATAAGTAGGTTACAGTCAAAGTGCAACTTCATAAGGCCATTATAAAATACATATTAATACATATACATATTTATATTAATTAAGGATTGATTACTACAAATCAATCTATATCTCAGATATAAATATGCATTCAAACGTCCCTCAAATAATACATCACATTCTGCATGGTTCTTGTATACTTATAATTATTCCATAAACTAACATTAAAACCTACATAAGATCTTTTTTAGTACATCAATCAATCTGGTAACAGCTTGCAACATGTCACCACCTTTGGCTAACTGCTAAATATTTCTCAGTTAATTTCAAAATAAAGTTGAAATTGATCTTCCATTTTAAAATCAATACGTGTCAATTAATTTTACTGAGCATGTGAAACCAAGAAAACATTTGATTATAATACTGAGTCAAACAAGCAAGTGTTTTGTTTTGTTTTGTTTGTTTCATAGAATCATCTTTTGAAAATTACCTGACTAATATGATATAAAAAATAGATTAAAAGATGGTAAAAATCTTAACTGGCAAGTAAAAATGTTTGAAAATTGAGGTGAAGGAAACACCAAGTAGACAATGTTAAACATACATTTAATTTGCACAGGTCCTTTTACTTACAAGAACTGGCCACCTTGGGAGAAGCCCACAGAATTGTATCCTGCTGCCAGTTTTGGATCTTTCTTTATCTTATCACAAGCCATTGTAACCTGGTCATTCACATTCATTAGGAATCCATTCTCCATGTCCTGCAAGATAATGTCATCATTACATGGAAGGTTTGGAGTTCTGCGGTAAAAGACACCAGAAAAAATCGTGATGTTTAAAAATTATATAATTATATAATATAATTATCAGCTGATTTCACAAAATTGCATTTAGGGACCATCATCAATGGTTGCATAGACATGCCACTTGATGTCGTATTCTATTATTAAATCAATGTGTTCCCACAGTGTCTAACCCAAACGCTCTAACATGCACGAGGGAGCATTTCATTACTGAAACTAAACAAAGAAACACTCCGGAGTAGGAAAAATGATGGGCGGGAATGATGAGTCATCTGAAGATTTCCCCAGTAATGGGAATAAGAGGTATGTGTTACTTATTTCGAGTATCCCATTCGATGCCGAATCGTTTGGTGTGATATTCATGTTGTACTTGGCTGGCTGTTGACGTTTGAAGCAATTAGGAAGAGCTGTACGAAACAGTATATTTATCAAAATTCATAAATGGATTTGTCATTCTACATGTCAAAACCTCTTTTGTCAAGACATGTGATTAGCTGAATCAAGATTAGAGCATCCGAGTACATGTATATTTTGGTCAAATTCTAAAGCTTCAACACACCATACCATACATTATCGTAATTGTGATTTGATTACCAAAAATATTCAAGAAACGCTGCGACCTGGTTAACACAGTGAAGTGGAAACGCTGCGGTACTAGTCTAGATATTTAGGAATTAGCTTGACTTTCCTTTCCAGGAAGAGAAAGAAAAGATCTATTATACCCCTCGGCATCAAAAGAAGAAAGATTAATTGACACATTTAAACTTTTTGTCAATAGTTTTATGTTTTGCACACAGTACACAGTACAACACAGTTTTGAGAGATTCGATGCCGAACTCGTCTCTAATAATATGAATATAATATCAAAATAAAATGGCAAGAGCGTTTCTAAAATTGTGTCCAAAATCAACGGAGCATTTCGAGGAAAACAAGTATTTCTCGAGAACAAGTGATGGATTTGGACTGGGATTTTAGCAAATGAGAATAGTTTGTGATCTACTATTTTGACAGAAAGATTAATGTTTTCATATAAATACTAGTTTAATTCGTAATTTGTGGTTAATTCGGCAAATAAGATCTTTGATCAGGGTATAGTTCATCGAATGGTACATAATATGTCACCATAACGTATGATATGTAAGAGAAACAAGTGAAACAATACATACGATCAAAATGGTATCTTCATTAGCCACCATTTTATTTCGCTCCGCAGCATTTCCGCATGAATGAAACGCTCTGTCGTGCATGTCAGAGCGTTTGGGTTGGACAACGTGGTTCCATGCATTCATTCAAAGTTCCCTTTGGTACAATATAATTCAGTGTAAAGAATCATATTTGCTCAATAGGCCTATATGTTATTAAAAGTTTTTAGGTTTGAGTTGGTATATATAGGAGCCTTTGATGAAAGATTTTGTAACTGCGCCCCATCCCAGCATTCATAATTCAAAAATAATTCAGGATACATATTACGCCAACCTAAATCTATAGGACTCAATATTTCCTTTCTTTATTCATTCTGCGCGGACCTATCAAAGGAATTGCTGAACATCTCGGAGGGCGATAGGTTACCCATCTTACTGAGATAAGTATTTTTATCACAGCATGGATCAAAAGTACTCAGTACACAAACTAAATTAATAATGTTTTTTGATTGCCATTGATTTATCAAAGCGTCTCCTTACTAGAACTTATTGTGCAGAATGACATAATAAGGGTCATAGGCAGTTGTTTGATCCTTTGTGTTTAAGTCTGTGTTTATTAGGTTTTATTGACAAATTTACGGCTTGAAACTTCAGAGAGACAGAAAGACTGATGTTTAGTCAATGTTTAGTCTTCGGGGACTTTATTGGCAGATAGTGGAAATACTTAAGAAATTTAATTCAATTAATCAATTTGATTGACAGTGTTATTTAAAAGTATGACAGTGTTATCTTGACCTTTAAATTCTGACAGCAATTTTTCTTCTGGATAATTTACAGAATTTTTCAGCCAGTTTATACGAGAATATTATTTGTGTCAGACTTGTATTGAAGGAAGCAAATAATTTATTGTCAATCGTACAAAAGACAATCTATCATAAATAAAGTGCAAAACAGTGCGACCAATGTATTGTCTAGCCAGTAATAATACATGTACTGGCAATTTAAGGAAACATATTTCAAGGCAGGAAAATTATATTTGAGCATCATTTATAGTATAATTTTCTGCAGTTTTTGTGATTCAAAACAAAGAACATAAGAATTCCAAATTATTATTCATGCTGTTATTTTGTATACCATTGTTATCTGGCAGTGGGATGCCTACGAAAGGTTACAAACCTTGCACGATGGGATGCAAATGCAATATAATCAATTAAAATAAATATTAGGTGTACTGTAATTGTCTCTTCAGGGCAGACAAGTATGCAACTGAGAATACTTACACCACTTTAATATAATAATCAAACATCAAGGGGTACTATTATTTAAAAACATTTTATGAAGATTGAATAGTTCACAACATTTCCTCTTAATTTCAATACACGACCCCATTAATCTAAATCTGGTCCCAAATGTTCACAAATACAGAGTGGGCCAGAAAGGCAATTTTTGGCAGGCCTGGTATTTTTCCTAGACACATTATTTATTAAAGACATACTGTATTATCTCTAATGGACACAGACACTCCAATAAATGCACACCTGACTTTTCCAAGAAAGACAAGCAACTTCAAAAACAAAAATCAAGAAAAATACAAGTTATTCGAGCAGGCGATAATAGGGATAATATTGAATAATTCACTTACCGCTAATAAAAAGCATTGAGAATTAAAATTGCCTTTCAAAAACTGACATGTTTGGCTCACCCTGTATAATATGTAAGACAGTGTCTGAAATGTCAAGGAAAGGCAGCCAATTTGGGAAATTTAACTACAAGTGTAATAATTCAGATTAATAATTAAGATAAGATAAGCTACAAAGAGTACAAAAGGATAAAGAGGAAAACAACCAAGAACCTGTGATTTTTCCCTTTTCCCACGAGATTCTGAGCAAGTTGTATGCTTCTATGGAGGTGGTCTGCTTACATAAATGAGGCCCTTTGCTGAATAAAATATTCATGAAATAGCTCAATAAAAAGTATCAATACACTTCTACGAAAAATCTAGCAATTGAATAACAAAGAAAGCTTACATTACATCTTAATTACAGATCTCTTTTTCTGACAAACAAACATTACATTGGTAAAGTGAAACATGCTGAAATGGAAATACCCAGTGCTCACAGGTTTAGGTGATGGTGGGTGGAAGGAGATTTTGGAAAAAATGCTTTAACTGCACATGTAGTTTTCTGGTACAAAGTAAAGTATATAAATGCATGTGTGTATATCCTTGCTTTTTTCACAAAACCATTATTACACTGACTTTTTTAGTAAAAATTTTTTCCAAATTTCTTTTCGGAGTTTCTCAACAACACTAGATTTCCTAAAAATCATTTCTAACTCACTAAACATCGGATACAACAAGGATGACTTCCAGAAAAAATAAGGAAATATACCCATGTCTTCACTTTATTTTGTACCAGAAAATAACATGTGCAGGTATAAAAAAGAATTTTTCAAAAATGTTTTCTTCCTCCATCAGTGCTAGAAATATATATAGTACTCTGTACTACATGTATATATACACTTGCTTTATCCCATACTTGGAAGTGTTTGATGTACATAAAAGAGGTTGTAAACAGTTGTATTTTCATCAGCGAGCAGGAATAGTTCTACATCCTGGCTGAGTGGGCAGATATATTAGATATAATAATATTTAAAACTGTTTGCATGTTGTTGCACTTTTGTACCTTCCGTATGGTAAACTGTGATTACCAATGGCAAAAAATGCAGACAATCATGATCTGTTTGATGATTTAAACAATGGAAGGAGCATATTTCCCTGTTAATAATCCCAATATCCTAAACCTCATATAGGATAATCTATATACAGGTGTCAAATGACATTGTGCCCCATCCAAAGCACAAACTAGGAGAAGTACCTATATTATTCTATATATCATTGGAAAGAGCATTCAAATTGACACCCTGTAGGTATTAAGGACTTGTATATTGAGACACTGGTGTTTTACCTTCTATCTAATAGGTATGACAAGGTGCACATGTGCTTGTGTTATTTCACTTCATTTGGTATACCTTTTTTAAATTTACATATACACTACCTGTGACTCAGATGCCCCAATCATAAGTGAATGTACATAAATGTTAGGAATCTGCTTTTCGATCCAAGATTTGATCATACCCATGCTTTGTGGATTGCAGCAACTGTCCCCTGTTTAAACACAAGGGCCAAGATAAACATTGACTATCATAGTAAAATAGCACATAAATATACCCTTGTAGAGCAGTTACAAAATAATTTGATATTTTGGAGTAAAGTAAATCCAAAATTTTGCAGTGTTCTTTGAATCTGAATGGATAGTCCAACACATTTGGCTAGTCTCAACTAGGTTGAATTTACATAGAATTTATTTACATTTAGAATTTATTTGTAAGTGGAGAAGACTCATGCATTTGAGGTACCATCAACTCCATGTGCCCAACAAATTATATGACTTGCTCTACAAGGGCTACATTGCCTTACCTCGATAATATTGTTCCCTATTTCGAGAGAATGAACGTAGACACCTGGGACATATTTCTCTATAAGGCGCTCTATGGATCCCATGCTCAGGGGGTTACAACAGCTGTCACCTGGAAGTTAGACACCTTATAAGAATGGGTGAGGAGTAGTTAGACATCTTATAAATATAGGGTATAAGTATGAGTAAGGAGTTAACCATCCTACAAGTATGGGTGAAAAGTTAGACACCTTATAAGTATGGGTGAGTTAAACATCTTAAAAGTATGGGTGAGAAGTTCAACATCTTATAAATATGGGTAATAGTATAGGTTAGGAGTTAGACATCTTAAAAGTATGGGTGAGAAGTTCAACATCTTATAAATATGGGTAATAGTATAGGTTAGGAGTTAGACATCTTAAAAGTATGGGTGAGAAGTTCAACATCTTATAAATATGGGTAATAGTATAGGTTAGGAGTTAGACATCTTAAAAGTATGGGTGAGAAGTTCAACATCTTATAAATATGGGTAATAGTATAGGTTAGGAGTTAAACATCTTAAAAGTATTGGTGAGGAGTTACACCTTAAAAGTATATGGGTAAGGAGAAGTTAGACATATTATTAGGATGGGTGACAAATCAGACACCTCATAAGTAATAAGTATGAGACATTATATTATATTAGCTATTGTATTATATTATTTGTGTTTATTAGCTCCTCTATAATGCTGAAAGGCGATCGAGGAGTTCTTGTGTAAAATATTTTACTGATATGAATAAATAAAGTAATGAATAAAAAAAAAAAGTATGAGACAGAAGTTAGACAGTACCTTATGTGTATTGGTGAAGACAAGATAAGTAAGACATCATATAAATACATGAAATAAGTAAAGGTAAGTAAGGGTGAGAAGTTAAGCTATCATATAATTATTTATAAAGACAAAACAGACACCATATATTAAGTAAGAGTTGTGAGAGGTTAAAGACACCTTGTAGGTTTGAGTGAACAGAAGTTAGAACTTTTATAAATTTGGTGAAGAGAATTTCCGATGAGGATAAGTAAGAAGCATTATAGTACCCCACACAATTTTGCCGCCTACTATATGTGTTGTAGAAAAACATCCTACAATAGTTTGCTCATGAAATTTTGAGTGTCACAATTGTTTCAAGTTAGTGCATTTCATGAGCAAACGGTTGGATATTTTTTCTACAACACATCAAAGTAGGCAACAAAATTGTGTGTGGGGTACTAAGAATGGGTGAAAAGAAGATTTAAATAAAAAGCCTTGAGGATGAAGAGTTAGGAAAGTTAAATTTCATAAACATGGGAGTAAATTATGGGAATGGGACGGACAGTCCCTCACTTATACTCAGATATATAAATAAATAAATATAAATATATACATAAATAAATAGTATAGTGGGTACTGGGCTCACATGGTGTTGCTCAACAGTGAATTATGGCTAAAATGGCAGAAAAAATTAATGTAATTTTTGCCGATTTTTTGTAAGAAAATTATTTCATGCAAATACTCTTTACTGTGACATGGCTTTTTACAATGCAGGACACCTGAAATTGTTTGTAAGCTAGGAAATAGGCCAAAAGTGAATTCTGCGAGACAAAAATGGTGACCATTTTGAAAATAGGTGAGCTCTTGAACCAGGAGTCATAGAGGAGTTTTCTACATTGATGTTGAACAAATATAAATTAAAACGGGAATCCTATCGGCAGGTTTTTAAAAGGCAAATGGTCCAAAAGTGGATTTCGCAAGATAGATGGACAAATCAATGTTAACTAAAATGGCTGAAAACAAAAAAAAAACGGATAAAACTTTTTGACCATTTTGAAAATAGGCGAGCTTTTGAACCAGGAGTCATGAGGGAGTTTTCTGTATTGATGTTAACAAAAATAAATAAAACGGGAATCTTATCAACACAGGTTTTAAAGCAAATGTTAAAGAAATTTTAAAGTTGATAAACTCTTTTCCAAACCACATTTCTATGTAATTTTACATGTAGAATCCAAATATGACATCAGTTTGACTGAATTTTTCATTTTTAATGATGTTAATCAAGGTTATTTCTACTTGCATCAAGTCTGTTGTACCATTGGGATCATTCACCCTATTTACATGATATAAATAGTTCAGTAGATCAAATCAGACAATTTGGGAAATTAGCTTTTGGTTGATAAACTCATAAAAGAGATCTAGAGATCTCTAATAACAATCAAAATGATGGGTGAAAAGGCACATAATAGCAATAACTAACATTAAGGAAAGGAACAATAGAATGATGGGCATAAAGATGGCAATAAAATCATTGATTTACTTTGATTTTATTTCTAAGGAAATCGCACGGACAGATTCTTCAGCAAAACACACAAATCTCCATGAAAAATAACACTATGGAAACAATTAACAAAGCAAATGGTGAAAAATATATAATACCTAAAAATTAATATGGCTACCTTAAAATTTACTCAGCATAGAATAATCAAGATAAGTAGGATGTCAGTATGACAATGTTAAACCTTTTTAATTTAACTTTGACAAAGCCTGGTGACAATACAATTCTATGCCAATCAAAAATCATTGGCAAATTTGAGATGAAAATGACAAGAAGCCATCAAAGTGAATAAGTAATAATGGTTTTCTGGAATAGGAATATTCAATAGTTAATCCAATATTCTTTTATTTGAATACAATAAATAACAAGAAAAGATGAATTATGCATCTATAAAAACCTTGAGATTCACAACAAGTAATAATACATCTTTATCTTAATTCAGTTGGCAAATGTATCAGGGACTTTTTTTGTATATCAAGTATGCAAGTACATGTATGCATGTACATTATCCCTCTTTTTGTATCAAACCCCCTTGCAGTGGCCTAGCGTGGGTATTTTGTGAGTGTATGCAACAAGTGAGAGAAGCGAACAAGCTTTGAGGTTTTGAGAAATGAGATTGTTTTTGAAGCGATCTTGGGGGTTTTAAAATAGAAAATTCTGACTAATATGGACTAATAAAATGTAAATTTAGAGGTTATTACGACACAATTTAAAAACAAACACAGGATTAAGAAAAAAACATTATTTTGCTTTTCATATATGATGTTCGCTACATGTATCCAGAATATCCAGTATTTTTAAAGTGTGGAGCAAAAAAATCAACTTTTCACTACATTTTGAGAGTACACCATGGGATTTTATGCATGCTACTCCATTGCCCTGTTCCCTAAAAGATAAGGTACTCGGCCCTCAACCCTCGCCTTTTCCACAAAATGATCAGCATTATATACTGTAATGGAGTTTTTTTCATTAGTTATTTTATGCAAGTGGTGTAATTTAAATAAATGATATTTGAATGATTATACTATTTTTCAAATTTTGCATAGGGCCTTTAAAGGCATTTTTAGGTTTAAACTCTACATCAATTTATAGGTGTATGCAAAAACACTCTATTATTCATTTATTTTATATATTATCACTTTTTCGATTACAAAAAAGTAGAACATGTAAAAAGTTTGTTATACTGACAAAAAAACATTGCCACAATTTATTTATTAAGAACCTATAATGTCATGTTTGTTCAACAGGGATAGGTCAAATCGGGCAAAGGATGACATCATATTATACAATACTGTATAAAGCTACTAAACTGAGAGAAAGACAAATGGTTTCCACATTCATTATATTGAAGGAAATTGATAGAGTAATTAGCAAAGCTTTGGATTATTGCTTTTTAAGATTACTCATTACCTATTGCAAAAATCATAATAGTTTGTATGCCTATACACAGGGATAGGAAAAAATGTTGACCTTCAATTAATCAGGCAAACTCCCTTCTGATGAGGTCTAGACTGAGGCTCATCTATGAAGACAGTCAATCAATTGTGAGAGACTTACAATTAATTTAAAAATGATGTTTATTGCAGAGACAATGTCGAAGCAAGCACGCTGATAGATTAATTAGATTTCAAGACACTGTACAACAATGATTGTAATGATTGCAACAATCAGTCAATTATGGAACAATGTGGGGACTGTTTTAACTCAATTGTATTAGATTGTATTGATGGCTAACTTTAACAAGTTAAGTGTATTTATTTTTACTTTATGGTAAACTAAATTACAACAGCGCCAAGGCAAAGCAAATCCCATCGAACTGCTTTTTTGGAAATGGCCACCAATTAGCCAAATTATCATGAGATGGTGTAATATTTGTATTAGTATTCACATATAAAATTTCAACAAAATAGCTATACTAGGTCTTTAGCTATAACAAAAAAAAGTGAAATAAAACATGAACATGTAATTCATTCTTCATCATATTTTTCAAAGTCATCAATATTTTTGAATGTATCAATGTATTTGAAAGCAGGCAAACTCATCAAATATTCTCTTTTAGGCTAGTTATAACAGGAGAGGCAAAATTCCCCCTCCTGCTGAAGATGTAAATTGCAAAATGTATAAGTTCAATGATTAAATATTATTGCAGTTTGATTTTTGTTGATGGTTTGAGGCAGTTGCAATTGAATACAAGTTTGTACACATAGACAATTTAAGCTACCAGTACATCAGACGTAGAAGGCTTAAATCCCATTGTCTCTTATGGAATAAACCTCTTAACCATATAATCCCTTCTTGTCAGCCATCATATCTGTAAATCCTCTTAAAATCACTTAAATAAGGGGATTGAGTCCAAATATTGTAAGTCGTAGAAAAATTGTCATCTCGTTTGAAGTTTACTGAAACTCCCCAGCCAATGTGGTGGAGAAATTGAGGATGGGAAAATTAACATTTCCAAAGAACTGAAGAAGGTTAAAAACGAAACAAAATTAATCTTCCTGCAAGTACAGTATTGATATTCTGACACCATTCCTAAGGACTCGGGGCTATTTTCATTTTGGCAAAGAACAAGAGAGTATAATGAATTTGACAGTGTCTGATAATGACTATGTCGGGTTGGATAATAGTCTTGTTTGGTTTAGTGACAGAGGAGAATATCTCAAATGACAAGATAATTGATTTGCATTAGCTGAGACACAACTGTCCGTCATTCAATTTGTTGTTTAGCATGAGTTAACTAAGGTCAATATCAGGACATTCTGCTCTTGCTATTCCTCTGTCTATATCTACTCCCCTGAGCGCCTATTCCTATACTCATAATTAGACAACCTTTCTCCTTGAAAGTCAATCAAAAGTCAAAAGTCAACACAGTAAATAAAAAGATTTTTAAAACCAATCAAGTTTTTCTAGTTATCAATTTTAAGATTTCAAATATGTTACTGTGTTTGTCTTTAATTAAGCGCTACTTAATTTGATGAATAATTTCTTCAATATTTCTTGTTGTTTATATAAATTTCTTCAATATTTCTTGTTGTTTCTATAAATTTCTTCAATATTTCTTGTTGTTTCTATTAATTTGAATGGCACGTCCATCTTGATATCTTTCTTATAACTGGATAAGAGCACCGAACAAAAAACATGTCTTATTCCCGGGGATTCAGCGACTTTTTAATTTGGCGATATTTTTAAAAATTCACCAATTTAAAACACTCGCCAAATTAAAGACAAATAGAGTACTCAGATTTCAAATCTTAGCCTATGCAGTTGATTGAATTACACTTCAGATAATACATTCAAATTGGTAGATTGTGCTACTGACATATCTTAGAAGGAACTGCAGTTACTACTAACTTAATTATGCTAAAATCTATAATTTGATTGTGAGGTGATTTCCCCTATTAGTGACCTATAAACATGTCAATTTAAGCCTATCAAGCTATATGCAAAGTGACATTTTAGATACATTTAATATTTTTTCATTCTCTTCTATTCATGGCCAAGGTCTTTGTTGAGCAAAATCATAATTTAATATGTCAGAAGATATGATGAGTCCTGTCTAAAGTGTTCTGATTGCAATGTAATTTAATAATATTTATTTTATCTGATTTGAGAACTCATCTGGCCTTTATGCAATAACAAGTCCTACAAATAAACTCTCATTTTAGTCTCATTTTAGTTTTCAAAGTTGTGTAAGATCTTTCGCAATAATTTCTGTGATTCATACCTTTCGTAAAACTGAATATACATGTTCATGTAAAACTACAGAGCCAATCTGCAACAGTACCGTATGGTACCATTTTGGAAATGGTACTCTACAGTACCGTGATATATGGTACCATAGACTAAAACAGTACCATACGGTACTGTGAACACTGTACAACACTATACTCCAACGGTACCATATGGTACCATACTCTTAATGGCACATACAGTATGGTGATTTTAGTGTGCGGATTGGGGGTGTATGCTATCTAAACATGTTGACTAAGATGGAGTTGCCCTTATGGTCCCAATCCCATTGGTCTGAATCCCAATGGTCTGAATCCCATTGGTCTGAATCCCTGGGAATAGTCTGAATCCCAGTTGTCCGAATCCAAATCTCAATTGTCCAAACCCTAATCGTCAGAATCCCTTTGGTTCGAATCCTTCTTAATTTAAATATCAAGATAAAGATGCAACAAGCATGTGAACATGGAATAAAACACCACGTTGATGTGTGGTGATTGAATAGAATCGGTTCCCCGTTTTAAAGCCATGTTTATTGAAAATATCATATTTAGCATTTTCCACTTCATATTTTTTGCTGCCAATTTAAGTCAATGCCACACTTTGTTTAGATGATTTGGGTTCAATAGAAAAGCGACTCATTTGCTTGTAAATTCCCTTCTTTATGAACATTCAACAATTGATTTGAATGTTAAAATTAGGTGCACTACTAACTTATCATCCAATGTACAAAAACCTTATATTCATTTTGCCATATACCCTAACCCAGATACAGATCTGCACATAAAAAAAACATCATTCAAGGGAACTGAATACATGTTTCTACCAATCCATGATATTTAAATTTAATCACCATATCAAATAATTAAGTGTGGATGAATGGAATTTGGACCATTTAGACCATTAGATTTGGATTCCTACGATTATGATTCAGACAAATGGGATTTGGATGATTGTGATTCATACTTTGAAATTTGGATCATTGGGATTCAGACAAATGGGATTTGTACGATTTCTATTCGAACAATTGAGATTCGAAGGATTGGCGATTGGACAATTGGACAATTGGATTTGGATCAATGTTGTGTCCTCAAAATAAGCATGCATATTTTAACATAATAATCTACAGTACAAGTATGGCTTGCTTGGAAAAGATCTACAAAATAGAACAGAAAATAATTATATTCTTGCTACCATCTTGAACAGGGGTTTCATTAGCAGCAGGCAACAGGCGATTTTCACCAGTTGTTTTCACAAAATCACATGATGTTTTTAGGGACCTTTCCATGTCACTATTAATTTATGATTTCCATAATTTTGCTTGTTGTTTTCATTCAGTTTACTAAACAATTTAGCCTGTTGTGAGAAATTCTAATGAAACCCCTGTTGAACATCTTCAGCAACGCAGTAACATTGCACAAGTTAGTTGATTGGTTATATAAACTTAGCAACATATAAGGGATGACTATTTCACTTTTTGCGTGACAATAAATCGACTGAAGAGTGAAGACTCCTCAGATCATAGATTGGAGTATCACTCTGCGGATAGTATCAACAAGCAACAGGATAGGATACAAGATTCAAGTCTATTTCAAGACCACCGACTCTCGTTGGACTATTTATCACTATTAACTCAGTTATTCATCTAATTTTACGTTTCTTAGATGCTTCTTAATCTCTGTAGATATGAAATATTGGCTTTCAATAGTTGAATGCCCATGGTGATAATTAGGTATAAATGTAAATGTATTAACATGGGGTACCATCGAATAATTTTGGCAACGTACCGGAGAACGACATTTTACTAAGAAATGGCAATAATTTAGCACAATATATTTTTTAACTAGAGTTCTATTTTGATTTTGACAAAAGTAAGTATTCCATGCAATAACTATTTCATTCATGAGTTTGTAGGAATTCTGTTGGAACCCAGTTCTGATCAAGTACGAAGTTATTGAAATCGGCGCAGACTGACTTTACTCTGAAAGATGGTTTTTCGATTATAACTTTTCACAACATTTAAAGGACAACTGAAATAGCTTTTCTCAACCTGCAGCTACAAAAATGTGGTTTTCTCTATTGTAAGCCCCCCATAGAGTTCTTGCGATAGCCATTATAAAATAAATGTTAGATAACTGCTAACGGTCATAGATAACGAAATAAAACTAACTGATAAATCAAATTGGCCCCCACGTGATTAGTAACGTCATATACAAATTATAGCTTTGGTTTATTGGTTCCATAGTAATCACAACGTCACGGCAACCATAGGATTGTTGTGTAAACAAATAACAAAACATTTTGGCATTATGACGTCATGATCTAATGGACCAAAACGGTCCACGTGGGGGCCAGTGAGAGATCACGTGGGGGCCAATAACGTCACAACCAATTCGGATATTGCTTATTAAGCAGCTATAACGCTCGTTAGAGTGAAATAGTTTTCACACTACTGATTAGAAAACATGTCCAAATACATCTATCAAAAAATTGTATTGATTCCTTTAGCTTAAAAATACCATTTCATATCTGCTTTAAGTATAGACTTTTGAAAAAAGTACAGAATAGTCCTTATACTTTTGAATAATTCTGTTATTTCTGATTCACACGACTCTGATTTGTTTAATTAAAAAAAAAGTTTTAAAAATATTACTTAGGAACGTAACCGGAGCTGGGAACGTAACCGGAGCAGATCAGTTGAATTATTTATTCAAAAAAATTAAAATATATGATTTAAAGCACACTAATTTAAAAACATACGGGATTGTTTGAATGCGTATTTATTAATATATATGCTTTAAATCATATATTTTATTTTTTAAATTATTGCCATTTCTTAGTAAAATGTCGTTCTCCGGTACGTTGCCAAAATTATTCGATGGTACCCCGTGATTAAATGTAAAAAGAATGTAATGGATCTGGCACAAGATCATGTGACCTAGTCTCGTTCTTAAGCGGGAGATTGCCAATCCTAATAAGGCTTGTTGATAATACTAATAAAGTGGTGAACATAAATAATGACAATCACTATGAAAAAGACATTCTGTCATAAATTCTTACCTCAGTGAATTGAGTGCTCTATTTTCTCCATCCCGGAACGTACAAATATAGTGGAATTTGTGTCCATAATGACAAATAGGAACTTAAAAATTTGAAGTGATATTCAGTTAAATGTTAATGCTGACTCTTCAAATGTAGAGGTGATTTTGGAGCCTGATTACACCGCATGCAACATGACACATGCCAGCTTTCAAAATGCCATTCCTCCATTTTGAAACCTGTCACGAGTAAATAATGTTAACTGATGTTGCATTCTGGGAGTCAATCCTCCTTGGATCACAAACATGGTGATTCATGAAAACATTTGTTCGATTTGGTAGGAATTTATCCATCATTTACAGGTACATGTATGAAGCTTTGGATTCATTTAATGTGCTGCTTAAAGTGAACGGGAATTATTTTTCTACCGCTTGGGAGAGTTTCCGACATGAAACTTAGAATTTAGCTCATTGTGAAAACTTTTGATTGTTGGCGTCTATTACAGTTGGGGACAAAAATAAATGACAGGTCGATTTTCGATCACCATTTCCTAATTATGGTGGTCTGAAAGCCCATAATTTCCAATATTGTCTAGATACATATCCCTTAAAATTTGTATATTTTACATTTTGTATAATCTCATCCACTGATGTATGGCCTCTTGTAAATTCTCTTATTTTTAACATGGGAAATCCTCACTTCAGCAAATCCACCTGTCATTTATTTATGTCCCCAACTGTATGTCTCCGACTATACTGTAGGCCTATCCTTCGCAGATTATGATGACTGCAATCCGTGCCTGGGATCGCACAGGAACGTGTAACACTATATGAGATGTCTGACATAAGCATCTCATATCATGTGCCATACAAGTTCCTGTGTGGGATCGGGAAAAAATAAACATGGGCTCTGATAGAGCCCATGAAATAAATAACGATATACTGTGTCTTCGATTTATCTACCGCGCACAAAGTGAAATATTAAGAACCATACATACCCATGCCATGCCAAATAACCACGGGCAATGTTGCATTTGAGCCTTTTGTCCCAAACACGACTGGAACAACTGTAAATATAACACAAAACAAGGAAAACATTTCTATTTTGTTCGCCATTTTGTACAGTCACATGATTTGATAAGGTGTAAATCGCGGATAACTTTGCGGATATAGTGGTGCACTAAATGAACATATAAACTGGTCATGCATTTCTTTAGTAATTGAGACTTTTCTGTTTCCGAACGCACTTTGCCCTTTTCTATACATCTATCATATAAGAAACCAGGCCCTGATCGGATCTGATATGGACTCCTGTCCATTACCATTATTGCCAATGCTGATCACTTCACCGCAAGTTTGGCAACTTGTGGGCGATCAAGACAATTTTGATTTAGATAATATTTCTATTATTTTTATCAACTATGAAACCACTGGCGGATTTGGGTTGGCCCAGAAAAAAATTGGGCCTTGATAAAATTTTGGGCCAAAAAGGCCAGGCCCTGAAAAGTGGGCTTTTTGGTCATTGCTGGGCCATTTAGGCCTTTTGAGGCCCAAGTTTTAAGAAAATGGGCCTCAAAATTTGGACCCACTTTGGGGTTTTAAGGGCACACAATTTTTTCAGCGCAAGCGCGGAAGTTTTTTCTCTGACCTGAAATTTCCCCCCCCCCCCCGCCCCTGTTGCCTTGGTTCCCAGTTCCGCCCCTGGAAACGGTTGTCATCAGTACGTAATCATTAATAATTCAGTAGTATTCTATTTAATCATGTTTACTGTAGCTTTAATTTATTGCATAACTCTTACATTCTTCTATTTACAGGATTCTTTTTTCTAGCACATGATACTTCTTTTATATGCCATTGCAGTGTCTTAGATGTAGTTGAAACTTGAAAGCCCCTGATATGTTATTGCACATTGATTACATATACATTGCATGAGCACGTGTAGTGTCTTAGATTGTGATATGTTGCATATTTTGTATAGGCCTATATTTTATAATAAATATCTAGAGATCTAATTAACTGGAGGGGTGGAAGTATGAATGTTAGTCCGAGGCAAAATATGATATTGGCCGAGGAAAATATCACTATTGACCAACGGTGTCGGTGATAGATTTTCCGAGGCCAATATCATATTTTCTCGAAGAAAAATTCATCACGGCCATCAATAGGCTATATATTATTTCATTTATATGCCATCATCCAATGATGAGACATAAAATGATACAATTCTTCTCCTATGGCAGGAACTACACTTGCGTCAAAACCTCAGAAACGTTTTAACACAAATCCATTCATCCTAGAATCATTAAAGATCACACTGCATCACGTTTATTGACAACTCCTCGAAATTGGTATTTAGATTTTTTAGGTTTAATTTAGAAAGGTTGTAAACCTTCCTGATACGTTCTAAAAATAACAAAAAAAACAATATTGCCTTTGTGTTTGATTTATAGATCTTTGATTGTTCACAAAGTATAATATTCTTCTGATATAAAATTAGTGAGGTATCTCTGAGAGACAGCTCACCTGTTGCCGTCTATGCTACATTTGTCACATTTTTAATACGCAGACCGTCAATCTACATTTGTCACATTTTTAATACGCAGACCGTCAAATAATGTAATAGTAGCTTGGGCAGAGGTGCAGTATAGTATGATGAAACTATTTAATGACACTAATAAATCGAAAAAATCTATGCTTTTCTTGATGATATTCTAATATAATTAATATGTTTGTCATCTTTGTAAATATATTCTAGTTTACATTTAAATCACTAAAATACATATATTGCCTGGATTATTAACGATTTATATCATTGGTTTACAGAAATCATAATGTCAGAGCACATAAGATGCCAGCGCGCGATGCCTCTGTCCTGGGGACTATTCGGTGCTTGTAACACGTGTGTCACCCATAAACTAAATAATGCTTTCAAAAAAACTAATTTGATAAATTTTGAAGACAGCACATACATAATTGCTTTAACGACCAAATGTACAGATACTTTCTTCGCACCATGGCTGTCAGTAAAAATAACATTAGGTTGAATCTGCTTTTTATTTTCTTGGATATTTTATTTTCTATAAAGGTGAGTATCTTGCGCATTTAACTTATGTTCGATGGTAAGTTGTTGGCGTCTATCATTTTGGCAGACTCATGGCTAATAGCAGTAATCCTCATTTAAAAAAACGTTAATTGTTTTAATACAAACAATACACTTGGACAAAAAAATCTTACCTTGTACACAATAAAGCACCCAGTCACATGAACGTTTTTTCAAGCTTCATAATTACACAAAAATGGTTCGTGTCCAGTTCTATTGATTTGTAAAGAATGGTGTCTAATCATCAATGGTCTGAAATAATGATTAGTTTCACCAGGGGAGGGGGCGAATGCTGGTATCGTTAGTGAATAGTATTAATATTGTTAAGATATCCAAGTGGAAGACAAATGATCAACATTTTAAAATGTCGTTAGATGAGGGGATGAGCGGGTGTCAAACAATAAGGAAATTATCTTCGTTTTTCCACGACTGTTAATAATTCGACACTATCCCATATAAGTAACATATCATTATGAAATAAATCTAATAGATATTTAGAACGAGAATTACATCTATCAACCCTTTAGATGCAGGGGCGTAGCCAGCTTTCAGTCGGGGGGGGGGGTGCGATCGCCAAAAAGTTTGTGTTTTCAGTCAAGGGGGTGCGATTGTGACATAAACAAGCCAAAAAATAAGATTTTTTTTAATTTTACAAAAATTGATGCAACTTCCCACAAAATTGAGCTAGAAGCTTCAAATAAAAAGCATTTTAAAGCTCTTTTCTTCCTCTTTCTCATGGTTTTATTTTTGTTGGTTATGCAATCGCACCCATCGCACCCCCCCCCCCCCCCCCCTGGCTACGCCTATGAGATGGTCACCTAGTCTGAATACTTTTGTAACATTTTGGATTTGCGCCAATTTGCCCTGATTAATATGGTATTGTTATTGTTGAGCATCACAAAATAACGACATTTTGTTACTTTCAGTTTTCATATTCTTTTACACATTTAATGATCATGAGTAGTGATATTTATTACCATTTTATCAATTCGTCCGTAGGAAGTAAAATCAAATTCAAATTTTTCAGTAAAATATCGTTTCCTGGCCTATATGTATCATAGATATTCCAATCTATATAAATTAGAACAAATCCAATCATACCGTTAGCAGGACCTTGATTTTTAAAAGCACTCTGCTCATTTTTTATCAACTTTACATCATTATTTAAACTAATTATGATGCAAGCTTGCAAAATGGGTTTCATTACTGGTTAAGATAGTGCGTATGTCTCCGAATGCCATGGCTTAATACGAAGGAAGACATTAGTTTTCTGTCGGGAGTACATTAGGTAATACGATTTACGATGAGAAACGAAAGCAATTATGAATTATTGTTTTGGATAACACCTTCCCCCAAACCGAGACTGAAAGTGAAATGATTTGCGTCATTAAAGAGAGAATCAGAGATAGCAAGCAGGCTAAACGAAAAATTGTTTCAATTTTAGAATATGTTTGGCTCATGTCATTCCTTGTCATGTCTATTTTCTAAAAATCACAAAAGTGCATACTTTATTCCAGGAAAACCAAAGATTTTTACAATAATGTATTATTTTTCTATTAGAATGGTTACCATTCTTATTATTTGGGACAATTTAAACATTGTTCACCCATTTTTGCACTTTGAATCATTAATAACTTCACCAATTTATTACATATTGTGAGTCTTTTGGGAGATATTGTATTTGATATTGTAAGGAATAGATTGGTAGGTCAATAATACATGTTGCTTGTAATTTTGTCACCCCCTATAGATCTGATTCTGCCTTTAAGAATCCGAACATGACTGTATTCACGCCTTCTATAATCTGTAAACAAAGTCAACATTTCACCCGGGGTATATTCGCGAACAATGCCCCTGGTAATAAAAGTAATGTGTGACGTGTGAAATGTTGACTTTGTTCACAGTTTAATAGTTTATAGAAGGCGTGAATACAGTCATGTTCGAATTAGGTTTAAATATACAGTATACAGTATGGTATTTTTGCTCTTGTATGTACCTTGCTCTCCTCGTCGTGTACAGTATATAGTATGGAGGATATACCCTGTCCACACTGCATTTGTTGCTTCAATAAATTGAATCATTTCCTGGCCATTGTTATATTCATTATATATCGTGGGAGTATTGTCTGGCACATAAACACAACCCCGGATTTTGTTGAAATCGACTTATTTGAACAAACGAAAGTTGACCTGTTATAACCCCCACCCTTCTTAGGTAATTACTTTAATTCCGTTAATCGATATATTGATATTACCCCTTGTATCTTCACTATAAGATATTTCAAATGAATCACGCAACCGAATCCAATAATGGTGACATTAGATTTATACCATTTATGCTATCGTATTGTAACCCCTCCATCCCCCAAGGATTTTGCAACATAATCTTTTCCATCTTTATAGGTGTTCAGCATCTTAAAGAATATTTTTTATTGCATTGTCCTGTTTAATTTGACTTCAAATAAAAAGGCATCTCACAAAATATACAGTACTTAATATTTGAATACAAATAGCAAAAACCACCTCATAAAGTGAAAAAATGATTTCACCATTGAAGATGGTGTTTGAATGGTAAGAGTTTAATCTTGAATGGTAAGAGTTTAATCTTATGAATAAAGCATTAAAAAGAACATGAAGAACAACCTTGTTGGAGCGAAATACCAAAATTAGGTGTGGGGAACTTCTTCTACGAATGCAATTTTGACACAAAATACATTTCTGCAGTGATTGCCTTGAACAACAAATGAAAATGAAACGTCCAGATTTTAGAAAGTACAGACCATGGAAATCAAGACAGTCTGGGCTTAGGTATGGACCCTTGATAGTGTTTTCTTTTAGCAAGATTAATTTTTCATAAATTGACCAATTTTAATTACAGGGCACTTTGTCTACGGAAGCCGTCGAAAGGGACGGACGTAGTTGCAAAACATCATGGTCCTGTGGCCTAAACATGTGCTGTAGAGACCCGACTGGCAAAACTCTATCTTTCGATCCATATGGTTTTGGAGTAAGATCATGGGTCATCCCAGGTATGGATACTCAAATATAAACAAAATGCTATGACTTTCAAAGCGATCAACATATGGGAGGAGTAATGGCAAATGGCTGATCACAATTTTGTGTAATAATACTGATTTCAGGATTTGAATTCTAGTAATGGTGATCCTTCGTTATTTCACCCATGGGCGTTCATTTAGAGGTACGATCAGCGATCAGACCCGGCGAGTGTTTGCAGTTCAAACAAACAAACAAACAAACAAGCAAACAAACAAACAAACAACAAGCAACTAAACAACCGATCAATTTCACAGATTTTTGACGCTCATCAATTGTTATTTTTTGCATTAGCTACATAATGGTTTTGTTTTTATAAATCATGTTTACCTACCACTATTTATTGTTAAAAATAGTTTGGTGCAGTAAAAATCACAATGTTGCTAACAATTATTGTTCTTGCAAAACGCTGAAACGTTTGATAAATCACCAAGTGACGTTTGACAGACTAAACAAACGGGATAATGGTATTTTTCAAATGAACGCCCAGTCACGTTTAGAAAGAGGGAACACATGCCAACGATTAATCATTTAAAACCGCCAGTACGGACGTCATTACTAGAAAATCCGGAGTTTTAGAATTTGCCTTGGTACCAAGTCATCTTCAATCCTCCGGACCTGGTGTCCTAGGGTGTGTGGTCCTAACCGGACCATATTTCTGGATTGGTATACAGCACAACCCCGGACTATATTTACTGACGGACTATAGATACGTTGACACAGGTGTAAAAGGGTAGGAGGTCCTATCAAATTATGGTCCTACTCTCCATTGATTTATATGGTGACCTAAATACAACACTTTCCCTCATTATCTTATACGCAATCAGGGCCAGTAAGGGCCGTTAAGAAAGGGAACCATAATCCCTGGGGGACCATCATTTCTTTCACACCGGTACTCACCATGAATACCAAGCTAAGTTAATGACATAAAATGCGTTATTCAGTCCAATGAGAGATCAGTAGTGACGAATTCTCATATAGCTAGGCAATGTGTGTCCGATTCCAGCCAACCCGAACACAGTATTTCATATAACTGCAGTGCATTATATCACCAATCATCGCATTCAAGATCACTTGTTAAACAGTTGTCAAGGTGACACTTGACTCTCCAGATTTCAAAATATGTTCTTTTGGTGATTTTGTATCTTTTGTGTGACTTCGTAAAAAATGATTTCCAATGTGTGAAAAGAATTTAAATCCATTACTCAATGTATTGTGGCTGCTTCATTCCACGAGAACGTTGTTTCCTGAACTTTGAATTCCCGCTGCGTGGTCATTCAAAGATTTGGAAACAGCACCTCCAATGGAATGATTCAGCACACAATGCACCGAGTCCAGTGCTTAAATCCTGTGGTATTCATTTTGTCTTTTGTCTTGTTGCCTTGCATCAAGCCCTTGTAACTGTGACTCCCCCAGATACCTCCCCTCCAAAGTCTTGACTAGGCTTTCTTGCATCTACTTGCAGGAGATGAGCTTAAACAAGGAGTATGTTCGAGAAAACTTGCCCAGAAAGGGGAAATATGTGACAGCAACTGCGGCTGTATGCCAGGTAACTATATACAGTTTATACACCGTGCACATTGACGTAATAATTACACATCTTACAGTCTTACAGTTCGATCGTTTATTATCCCATCATAAACCAATCTCCCCTGCGATGAGGAATAGGCTAGGGTGTTTAAGTTTCACGTTTTTTTAAACCTTGTACATGAACGTGTAGAAGTATGGTCCCTGTGGATTAGTTCTCCCATTTGCACGTTTACTTGGCCGAATGAGTATAGAGATAAACGGGAAATAATTGTAATTAGCTCCCTGGAAAAGTGAATTGAGAGCGTGAGAGTATTCCCAAGGGGTCGAAATATTACACGCTTGTGTAAAGGTTCTCTTAAAAACGTTTTGCTTAACCTCCATAATATCAGTGCTACGTGAACGTGTGATATCATGGCACTCAGGGATTACAATGAATCCCATCTTTTTAGGAACCTGATTTCAACTATTTTCCTCACATTTGAATTAAGCAGCTCAATCATGCAAGTGAATGAGTACTATGAAATGGAGAACTTATAATCCCCAGAGGACCCTAATTCTACACGTCCACGTAAACGTTCTGTCTAAAAACGCTTTACGTCCATTATGAGTATCTTATCCGCATTGATGACATTGTCGGGTCGAGACATTTCTTTAACATGGTAATCTCATCATAATGAATAACCATAGGTTGCGCGTCATTCATTAACTTTTCATTAACAATGTCACAATGTTCCATCATTAGTTCTCCATCAATTACTCCTGACAATGTCGTTAAACAAAAAGCAGGTGTCAAAATAGAGAACGCAGACTTGCCTAAATTTCCATTTTTTCAAAGTTATTCACAAAAAGATATTTTAAAACATATTTTTCACCGTTGTCCAAAAAGTTTCACAGTGGCGGACATGTTGTATCAAAATATACAATTAAAAATGAGTTAATGAGTAAAAATGGAATGTTAGTTGAAGTGAATTCACACATCGCTAGGCATTTGTATCCGATTCCATTCAATCCTAACCGACAGCATTTCATATAACTGCAGTATATTATATCACCAATGACCGCATTCAAAGTCACTTGTTAAACGGTTGTCATAGGTGATAACTTGTCTCTCCAGATTGAAATTGATACTTTGTCAACCTGAACAAAAAGTTTTATTGACAATATGTCTTTTGTGATTTTATATCTTTTAGGCGATTTCTTACAAAATTAAATGCAATGGGTGAAAAAAATTTAAGCCCAAGACTCAGTGCATCGTGGCTGCATCATTCCATCCAGGCGTTGTTTCCTAGACTTTACTTTCCCGCTGCGCAGTCATTCAAAGATTTTGAAACAACACCAGAGCTTAAATCCTTGAATAATTTATGTACACAAGTCTATATGTGAGCGGTGCATGTGCATTCTGTATTACTCATATGGAAGAAATTTAAAGCTAGAAAATTAATGATCTGAATTAAAAGACATAGTAGTTACAAATAGCTTAATTTTATACAATTATAGGATTTAAGTGTTACCGACCACTTTCCTTCAATAACTGTTGCTCGGAACAGACGTGTCTGGAAGCAGATATCGTAGACTACCGAAGAAAGTTTGAACGTAGAGTCTGGAAGGAATGCTTAGATGATCCAGACTGTCCACTGCCGGGTGTTCGAGACCGCAAAACATCAACATTTTCAACGTTGTCGCAGAAAAGCACTGATGGTGGTGTAGAAACTCACAGCACCACAACCGCTGCAACAACTCCAATCCGAATGGAGAATGCCAAGACCAGCAGTATTGGGGATAATGGTGTTATCCAGACAATCATCAACGTAGATGGCCACGGTAATGAGCGCAGAGATTCAACGAACAATGCTATACTCAACAAAGAAAGAAACTCATTTGGCAGGCGAGTGATAGGAGGAGGGGGTCGAGAACTACCAAAATATGACGCATCTTTTTTTGAACGAAGAAACAAAGGAATCGAAAGAAAGGGGTTTGGCGACACGATGGTTTCAAACAAAAAATCCTTTGTTCCTGAGATTTTGGATTATGAAGATAATGTGAAGCTCCATCAGTCCTTGATGAAGAGATATTATTCCAATAGACAAACAAATGAGAACGCCTACTCACCAAAGAGTTCGTACAGTATGTGATTAATAAAGACATATGGCAATTGACCTCTTCAGAACTAGATGTGTGAACTAAGCTATGGATGTATGATATTTATCTCATATATTATTTAATAATGCAAAGAAAATGCAAATAGATAAATTATCAAACTGAAATAGTTTATAAATGAATGTTATTCCCGTCAACAAGTGTACAATACAAAGTTACCCTTCAACACGGCATCTACCGACATTTTCACAAATATTTTTAATTTTGATCTTTTGATTCGATTTTTATTCCATTCGTATGCAACATTAGAATGTAAACAATGTAAACATTGGGAATAAATGTGTTTTATTCATTTATTTTATTTACATTGCCTATAATGTAATGTATGGTTAATTGACAACAATAATACCATGATAACTATCCGACACTTAATGGTTATAGTTGTAACTCTTTCCGTCGTATGATTGATGTTCAATGAAAATATGATGTAAAATATAACCAGACCAAGAGCATATAAATATGAATGACAATAGTATATTCCCATGGAACAGAAAGATGTGATTAATTAATACTGTCATAATACAGTACCATGGCCAGTTGTCAAACATACCACTGGTCAGTATCAAGCGAAGCTAACAACCGTAACCTTCGCATCCAAGATGGCAGACAGTAGTTGTCGATTTCGAAATTTTTAGTTTTCTTCAGATTTAAGTGCTTTATTAGTTGACGTTATGTTTTTATAGTTTGATCATTTTTTCACATATCGTGCATGGGCGACACAGTTCAACGATATCTCCCACCGCTGTTACCAGTTACTTTCCCTTAAGCGGACGAAGATATCGTTCAACGGTGGGGCCTACGCATGGTATATGAACAAATTATCATACTCCAGGGTTCCAATGTCATATGTGCCTGATATAGTTCAAATATAAAAGCATTATGTCAACTATAACGTAGTTTAATTCGATGAAAACTAAAAATATTGAAATCGACACTTTGTATCCGCCATCTTTGATGCGAAGGTTACGGCCGTTACCTTCTCTTGATACTGACCAGTGATATACGAGGTATAGAAGAATTATGTATCATGTGCATCATCCCAAGACATCGTGCATCATTACATTAAGCTTTTAGTCAAACAGAAGTCAAATAAATCATTGAAGATAAGTGAGGGACATTGAACTTAAGCTAACTTACAAATGGGAGCAGCTAGCCTTGATGCAACCAATTTTTCAATAGGCAAACCTCGAGACCCTCGGAACCCTCGAGAGAACTTAACAATCAAAAATTAGAAAATTAATCATTTTTGCTAGAAATTTTCTCAGAATTAATCTTGAGAATAATTCAACCTTAAGTCAAAGATTTGTATATGTGATATAGAAATGTATCTGAAAGTGTGAAAATATCATGGACGTATTATTCAGAAACAAAAAATGCACTTGTCATAACAAACATTGCTGGTTTCCAACAGAGATTCGGATGCCTTTTGTTTGCAGCAAATACATGCATTAATCAAAGAATTATGTCTTAACTTCAAAATATGTTAACAATTAGTTCAAGTTTTTAGTTACAAGTTTACGCCTGAACAGCTGACGTATGGAGCTAATGCTTAGAAAGTTTCACTGAGAGACAGGTTCTACGTCTTTCTTCTTTCTACGATTTTTCATCCCACATGTAGTTTCACACTATCAATCAACGTACTAATATGTTCCAGTTAAAGTTGCATTGTTCTAAACGTTTACTACACATGTACCGGATTATCCAATCATAGTTGTTTTCATCAGGGGTTAGAATAGAAGATCAAGCTAGAGAAGCAAATTGACAACCAAAAGTTGAAAATCTAAGGACGTAAAAAAGTAGAAATTGCAATGTTGAGTACAAAATTGTTGATGAGAGCCGAGGCGACAATAACAAGTGCTTGTGGAAAGAGCTCAATATTAACTTAGGTAATTATAAACTAAATTATGTATTTATTAAGTTAAATTATATTCATGCCATAAGGAGGTTTAGCTTCATGTTTTTATGTGAACTTGTACGTGTGAACTTTGGTCTAGTTTTGTTTCCCTGCCCGTATTATTTACTTGGAAAATCCCTGTGATCAGATAATAGATTACACATTTCCGTTTGGAAGTTCTCTTAAAAACGTGTAACTTAAGCTCTCTGCAAGCTTTCTTTATTTTTTCTCTCTTTTTCCTGCTTAGTTTTCTCGCCAACTTAACTAGAAAAGTTTAATTACTTTAAGCTGCTTACAAATGTGTCTAGTATGATATCTTTGTCGTTATTTATCACTTTCCTTTGTCTTTTTCATCATGTAGCTTAGAAACAGCCAATTCATAAATCCGACTGATGTGGGAGACAAACATTGTTGTCAAGTCTCCTTGACTTCACTAATGCTATTTTCAAACAATCAAAGTTGAATATCATTCAACTTTTAAAAATCAAAAATCTGGACTCTTGAATAAAACTAGTTCAATTTCACGAGTCTAGTTATTTTCTTTTCGAAAAATGATGTCACTAGAACAGCTTTCAAGAACAGCTTTCAATATGAGCATGATGTTGCACGATCATATTACATTTTTGGCTGTTCATCTGTATTTTGCTAAATTGTTATTTGCATTTTATTTTTAAAGTGATGTCGCAGTTCATATGCTACCTCTTGAGTTGACATAATATTCAAGTAAAAGAATAGTTTATTCATTTTCAAATGCTCGAAATGAATTTCTTTTTTATTGTTGATTATATGACAAGAATAAGAATCATTGTAATGGAATATTTTAGTCCAAATTCTTTTGTTATCCTATCCTCTTGTAATTCCAGGCTGCGGACTGACATCTCGGATCAGTTAATTTTGAGAACACATTTAACATGGAGGAATATTCGAATGTACTGGACGAAGTTGCTGCTCCGGAGGAAAATGACAATATTAATGTTGAACTGTATGTAGTCGTGGTGATACTATGTGTGTTTACAGTCATCGGGACTGCTGGCAATGGGCTCGTAATATACGTCTACTCACGCACCAGGGATAAACTGACATCCACGTTGTTCATTCTAGTGCTAGCAGTTACAGATTTTATGACATGTTTGATTATAGTACCATTTACTATAATAATGGAGTTAAAGTATTTCAGGATAGGAGACAACGATATAGCGTGTAAATTCTATCACTTTCTCATCACGTGCAATATTCCATTCTCTGCCTTCATAATGGCGGCCATTGCTGTGGACAGATACCTCTGTATCTGTCAAACATTTCTACATGTTATGAGCCGATTCAGAGCGAAAGTGACAGTGTTTGCTCTTTTGATGTTATCCCTCAGTTTAGGGACATTTACCTCGTTAGCTGTTGGTGTATATGAACGCTTCACGTTTAACGAGACTTATCCAGCGAATACGTCTTCCTTTGGTAACATAACAAGTGAAACCACCATTGTGGTGACTCGTGTGGATCTCACAGGAATCTGTTCAACTAATAATCTCATTGTGACCAACACTATGCTTGATATATACCATAAGATATACACCTCTCTTTATGGCATCGCTTTCCTCCTCGTTGTCGTTCTTTACATCTTAATCGTATGTAATGTGCGAATGCGTCAGCGACAGAAACGATCTGCTTCATTGAGATGCGAGATATCGACAAATAGTAACTCACCGACCAACGACTTTCCAACAGAGGCTTTTGAACTTAACGAGAGGAATCCTAGGGAGAACGGACATTCTAATAAAGTTCCAAAAGAACGCGACAGGAAGACGATCAAAATGGACAAAAATTTAATGGCTAATTTCAAAATGGCGATGATGCTTTTTGTTGTTACGCTGGTGTTCATAGTAGCGTTTCTCCCTGCCTTTCTAATGGTCCATCGTCTAATGCCATTCAACTTTGTTGTCTTCTACATGTACTTTGCCCACAACGTTACCAACCCGTTCATATATTCATTCATGAATAGGAATTTTAGACACGATCTTAAAACGATTTTTAACTGCTGTTAGCCAAATCTCCCCTACTTTGACTTATCCTAATAGTATGTAAGACTTTCCAAACCCCTTGTGCAGAGTGAAAAGTGATTGACATTAACAATGGAGCAGTTGCTAATTCAGAAATCTGTCCAAAATGTACGATGTTTTCTACCATAAATTAGTGAATAGTGCTTTTGCGGACACAAAATGTGAACGCTGGGTTTCTGGAGATTTGGGTCCAAAGTGATCATCATTACAAGTACAAAGGAGGGTGGACTCAAAAATAAATGTAAATAATGCAGTTTGTCATATGCACACGGGGACTAAGTCAACCGTACCCCCTTCGAATATCTCTACATTATAAATTCTAGTAAATAGATAATATAAGAGGGCACGTTGACCTATACTCTACTCCCCATAATTATATGAAACGACACCATATCAGTAAGCGTAATGCAATAACACCTTACCGTAACACCAAGGAGGACGGGCCTCCAGGGACACAGCTCGATATTTTCCAACAATGAAGTGAATACTATAAAGTATAGAACTAAAGCTCTGAGGACAATATTTGTAGACGTAACATGCAATGTCATAAGCTACACGTTTTGAATAGAACCTGTACATGAGCGTGTAAAATTATGATCATCTGGGGATTAATTCTCGCCTTGGTAGTAATTGATTATTTGCCACGTTGAATGTAAAGGTATTAAGGAAAATAACTTTTATTTTGGTTACTGAAAAAACAATTGAGAAGAGGGGGTAAAAATAACACGTTCACGTTCAAATATGAAGTTCGAAACGCCAACCTATTCGTATGACCAATACAAACCTGTCGCTTGAACATATTTTCCGTTCGCGTTTAAGTTGTGAAAAACATTGCAAGCTTAAACATCCTAATGTGTGGCTTAACCTCCAGATTACTGTTGTAAAATTTGCCCATCACCTACATTGGAACATGATGATAATAAATATGTGGCGGTAACCAGTGACTACAGTCGTTGTCCAGGTAACGCAACACCATAAAGAATGATTATGGTACGCATCATTCAACATCATCATCATTACTGTTCGGTTTAATAAAAAATTACTTAGTTCATCATTTCTTTCAAATGAGACATTACACGGTCTTCGGGTTTCTTCGATGACGTATGGTTATTATTCTCAACGTCTTTATTAGTTTTTAAAAGGCTTCATCCTATAATTGTCAGGGTTGGTATCCTCAAGCAAAAACAAGTCATGTTGTTTGCCATTTATCTATTTTGATTCTTTTCTTTATTTCCATCTTCTCTAATTTTTTTAATGCCTCCAAAATTATTAATTCAAATAAAAAGTCATGATTGTTTTCATCTTGGATTCGTAAGATTATAAAGATAACGTGAAGCTCAATCAATCCTTGAAGAAAAGAATTTACTCAGCAAAGTCAAACAGTTCAGTTCATGCATAGGGAACGTGATAAAGGATATATGGCTAAATACCTGTTGAACATGTTCAATAAAAATGCGTGAAGGTATAATAAATCAGTTATATTGTAGTCACATAATGGTGTATAGTTTATTTATAGTCTAATAATACAACACATTAAACAAGTATATAAATAATTAGTCTACCTACAACCCATTGTGACATATGAAAAGTGTGGAGGAAAGCCTCCATTGTTTTTCTTTGAGAGGTCATGCACTAGCCTCATTTTGAGTAGAGCACATGACTTATGAATGGGGGATCCAAATAAAATTTAACGAAGGGACATATTTTTTCTCCTGACTGTTGGTATCGTAGGCCAGTGAAGGTCTTACACAATGCACATTATTAAATCTAATTTGTAATTGTACACACTGGTGTTGGCGGAGTTGGTATTTCTTTCTATAAATCACTTTCTACGATAGGCGTATATTCAACTTGAATTAGACTATAAAATACCATAAGTGGTAGTCGCTTTAAATATATTTAAATAATTTAATTTGAAGATTTAAGCCCTGGATTCGGTGCATTGTTTGCTGAATCATACCAAGTAGGTGTTGTTTCCAAATCTTTGCATGACCACGCAGCAACGCCTGAATGGAATGAAGCAGCTACAATGCATTGAGTCTTGGGCTTAAATTGTTTTCACACATTGCAAAATATTTTGTCCAAAATCATCTAAAAAGAACTAAATCACTAAAAGAACACATTTTCAATGCCATTTTTGCAAGGGTCAAGTTGGCAAGTCATCAAATCCAATGAGAGAAGTCAATTCATCAGTTTAACTGGTGACCTTGCATGTGTTTGATATTGATATTTCACACACTGTTCATTATGTGAATACTCTGTTCTGATTGGCTGGAATCGGACACACCTTGCCTAGCTATGTGTGAAATAATAATAATTTAATATATTAAAATATATACCCTCTGTATCCCAATATTTTGCATGGAGGATTATTCTCGATAGTATTATTAGTTACCCTTTGCATTCGTTTGACTTCACTTCTTAAAAGAGAGCTTCGTCTTCGAGTCTGCACGCAGGGCAATTATTAGTTGGCTTGGCGCTCTATTACTAGAGACCAATACAACTCAAGAGCAATTCTAATATAACAGATGGTTTCTGGTGATACGTCTTTTTACATATTGGGGTAAATACATCTTTAATGATCATGAACCATTATGTAATTGTAATTTACTTATGATTGTACAACTCCTAAGAGTACCAAATCTCTCTTCGAGAAATAGATGGTATATTTTCAATCAGTTTTTCCCACAAGGATCAGTTTTTTATATCTATGAAGCCAGTTATTAGACGGACAGTGTAATAACTGGCTTCATCATTGAATGACTGAAATTCAAGTTAGGAGATGGAGCCAATCTGCAAAGTACCAATCTCATATGAGCTTCAGAATGGAACATTCTCCAAAAGATATCTTCCAAAAGACCACCATGACAGAATCAATCACAGACATCCCGCATTCTCACGAACATTACAACTCAATTCGAGGCTAACCTACAATTATCCATCTTCGAAGATAACAATTATCTAAACGACACAATGTCAGGGAAACCGATGAAAACAAATCACATTGTCTTAGGGGTCAATCTATTCTCAAAGGCACCACTTGCATAATTCGTAGCGTCGCCTTATTTTTATGATCTGTTGACATTTGATTATTCTATTAGTTCCGATATAAGTATAACCCTTACTTTGTGTTTATTTCTACCTAAGGTTATTCGCAAGTCTCATAACTATGATATTTTATTAGCGTTTAATATACAGAGTAAACCATATGCCATCATTTTTATATGTTTTCCTGACTTTGAAGTAGCTGACGAGGTCATAAATCTAACGAAAAGAGGCTCGATGTCTTTTCTCTGCGTCTATGTTTCAAACAATGATATGATGCTTAGGATTGATGTTTTTCCACCAGATTTGTAATGTGTCTCGAGGTAATTACAGAACCTAATGATCTCTGACATGATTATGATACCAAGTACGAGGAGAAAATAATGCATAATAGCTTAACTCATCATAAATTCATGTACCGATCATTCCAAATAAAATAATCTAATTTATCGATAAAATCCTTACTAATTTTAGTTGATGGATGCTTCGCTAAACATACCAGACCATGGTTGATTTAACAGCGTCAAATGAACACAAATAATTCATCTTTATTTTAATAAAAATCAGAAAAGCGGAGATTACTCCCAAGGATCTTTGATATATCAAGTCGAAGACGTATGATCACGCGTCAATTTTATGTTTGGTCAGTTAAAAGTCAACAAACTGCTTGTTTGATAACTACAGAAATACACGTGATTGATGATTCGGATTCATCAGCTAAGAGACATTAGTTTGGATTGGAAGCAGTCTCGACATGATTCCATTTATCTTATTTGTTACTTATATCATAATCTCTCAATCTAAACCTACATTATACTGTGGACCTATAGTCCTTTATTTCAAACACCGATACTATAAGTTATTAAATGATTTGAAGTGCAATACAGGATATATTCTGCTCGAGAAATTCCGTATTGGAACGAGACGAAGTCGAGTGCCAATACAGAATATCAAGACAGAATATATCCTGTATTGCACTTCAAATCATTCAATAACGTTTTTATCGTGTGATCCTCTGTATTGCTACTGAGATTGCATTGTCCGCTCCGTACCAATATTTTCTGTATTGCGACGGAGATGATCAACGGGGACAATCTTAGTAGCAATACAGATTGGCACAGCACAATCATTTTACAGATCATACAATAAAGGTATTTACAGTGTCTTTTTATATTAGCATACGAACAACTTTGGTATAATTTGCACGGGGAATTGATTAGATTTTGGGTATTCTGGGTAGCCTAATTGTTAAGGTGGTCATTTTGGATTTTCCGTCCTAAAATCTTGTCTGTAAAGTCTTGTCTACACGTTTTAAACTAAATCGTTTGATGGATTGATCTGAAATTTTTATTCTGGGTAAATGTTTGGGCGTCCATTTTGGATTTTCCGTTTTAAAATCGTGTCTGTAAAGCCTTGTCTACAAGTTTCCAGCCAAACTGTTTGATGTATTGATCTGAAATTTTCAAGCATGTATTTTTGTATGAAAGTCTAGAACAATTAGTTTTAAGCTTCTAGGTTTGTAAACATTCTAAAGCGGCCATTTTGGACTAAACCGTCTTGGGAATTGATCTGTATTTAGTCTTGTCTACACGTGTCAAATCAAAAAGAAAACGGTTTGATGGATTAAATCTGGAATTTTAAGGGGTACTTCTGGGTATGTTTCTTCCCTAGTATCACACCAAACTAGTTCTCACTACGTTTTCGAAAACAGGCTTAAACTGTGTACGAACGGATTGGACGTACTTAGAACCGTTTAGGGTATATTTACAAACTTCATGAACATTACTCGAATGGGTGGGTCCCTCAGGACTAAGAGCATGCTGAAAATTTTCTGATGGTCCTCACGTTCTGCAATTTAGAACAAGTGACAACATAATTAAGACGAGTTGGACAGTACGAACGGAACTGTCGTACTTCAATCCTAATAGGAACGTTTGAATTGTCTAACAACGTATTTAGAATGAGGTA